GTCGATAATGTAACCAACTCTGAAAATGGTCTTTTATTCATCATAATCACTTAGTTTCCATTTTGCATCTTGGTCCTTTAGCAAATCAGCCACTTTACTTTCTTTCCAAGTGGTTTGAGCAGTAAGGCTTCATGTGGTGAGAGCCACCAAGGGGACTTCTGTTCTAACAAGTCTTTATATCTCTCCCATACTCTCATTAGTGATTTCCTAATTATATGGTTATAAAAACTTCTATGTACCTTCCCTTTCCCATACCATAAATATGCGTGCCAGCCAAATCTGTTATCATGTCCTTCCAGTTCTAATGCTTCTTGCTTTTCCAACTTCATCCAGTCCCTGATCCATACCAGGCATGTAGCTTCGTAATATAATTTAAAGTCTGGGAAGGCAAACTCGCCTCTATCTTTAGTATCTGTAAATATTTTATATTTTATGCTTGGCCTCCCCCCCCCCATGAACTTAGAAATTTCCTTCTGCCATTTTTAAAAACGTTCATCTTTCAGGATTACTGGGACTGATTGAAAAAGGAATAACATTTTTGGCAGCACATTCATTTTAATCGCTGCTATTTTCCCTAGCAATAAGAGATTCATTCTGTTCCATATTTCTAAATTTACCTCAAGCCAATTTTTTTCATAATTATCTTTATATAATTTTATATTTCATGATGTTAACCATATCCCTAAGTACTCAACCTTTTTTATGGACTTCTATCTCAATATTTTGCTCTGAATCCTTTTCTTCTTCTTCCTTCAAGTTTTTGACTAGTAGTTTAGTTTTGTTCCTATTTAGTTTAAATCCTGCCACTTCCCCAAATTTCTGAATCTTTTCTATTACTTTGGGGAGTGATGTTTTTGGGTCTTCCACTGTTATCACTAAATCATCAGCATATGCTCTTAATTTAAACTCGCTTTCCCCAGTTTTTATACCTATAATCTCTTTGTCTGCTTTTATGTTTTTGGCAAGTACTTACAGTACCAGGATGAACAGCAATGGTGATTGTGGACACCCTTGTCTGGTTCCTTTTTGGATATTACATTCGTCCGTGATCACCTGGTTTATAATTAGTTTTGCTTTTTGCTCTGAGTAGACTGCTAATACTCCTCAATATCATAACTTCCTTTTTTAAACAACAATTATTTTCCACATTCTCTTCAAATCTTTATATGTCTTTTCCCAGGCCTTTTAAATAATTTTACATTGCCACCACATAAGGTAGCCTCTTAAACCTTTTGCCCTCCCTTCCTGTTTCTTCTCTATCACAATCAAAGCCTCCCAGATCATTTCACGCATAGCAACATTCACAAGAAGGAGAGGGGAAAACCCGTAAGATGGCTTTGCTTTGTGGGCTTCTTCTCTTACACCAACTTCATGACACCTAGAAACAAAAAAGCAGGTCCACCCCAACACTGTCAGTTGGAGCTTTAGGCTTTTCCTCATTGGGTTGCGTTGTAGCGCTTACTCGGCAACTCAATCATGCCCCCCCCCCAGCTTCTTTCAAAGCAGCAGGGAAGTGAGAGAGAGCTCACATTTCAGGTTGCAGGACCCTGAAGAGTCTAAAGAGATCCCTTTAGTTTTTTAGGTGTGCACACTGCCTTAGCGCTTCCCCTACCCCCTCGCGAAGACCATGCCTGTCAGACCGATCAGGCTCGCGCTCTGTCTGCCATTCCCATGGCACCTGGAAGTCCAGACCCATGGTTTCAAGTTACAAGAAAGGAGATTCCAACTAAACATATTTCTGACACTAGGAGCGGTTCAAGAGTGCAACAGTCTCCCCTCCCCCAAGGTTGTGGACTCCTTTAATGGAGCTTTTAAAGCAGAGGTTAGATGGCAATCTGTCATGGAGGCTTCAGTCTGAGGTTCCTGCATTGCAGAGGGTTGGACTAGATGACCCTCTGAGTCCCATCCAACTCTACAATCCCATGATTCAATGATTCTAACTTTCATGCATGTGGTAAAGCCACATGGCAGGATGGAATCCATCTAGCGGTTCTGAAGGCCAGCTTCAGTTCTTCCCTCATGAAACACCCCCACGACCTCCTCTTTCAGAGTTAGGAAAAAGGATCCATGGCACAAGACACAAGTATCATATATACCACCAGGATGATATCCTTTTGTCAATAATTAATTAAAATATCAGTTCTCCTTGGCTGGGTATACAGGACAGATTGAAGCAACCACAACCATTTCCAGCTGTCAATCATGCAAGAGTGGCAGAGAGGTCTGTGAGGGAAATCAGAGCTTACAAAGTTAACAGCTCAGAGTGCTAGCGTCGTCCTGCCTGTTCTGGGAGGAGCTTTCTCCACACCCGGAGAAGCTGGTTTCTTTGTTCTGTCTGACTTTCGGTTTTGTCCAGCGTGGAGGATGTTTTCATGCCAGACACTGACTGATTTAGTACTGCTGTAAATGATGAAGGGTGGAGGTCCTGCAGGCTTTTGTTGCACATTTCTGCTCCTTCAGACCTCTGAGCACAGCAGAGTAAAACACAGCAAAGTGACCTTCTGTGCGTGCAAAATGTGTCTTCTACTCTAAAGGTAAAGGTAAAGGTACCCCTGCCCGTCAGGGCCAATCGTGACCGACTCTAGGGTTGCGCTCTCATCTCGCTCAAGAGGCCGGGAGCCGGCGCTGTCCGAAGACACTTCCGGGTCACGTGGCCAGCGTGACGAAGCTGCATCTGGCGAGCCAGCACCAGCACCGCACACGGAAACGCCGTTTACTTTCCCGCTATAAAGCGGTACCTATTTATCTACTTGCACTTAGAGGTGCTTTCGAACTGCTAGGTTGACAGAAGCTGGGAACGAACGACGGGAGCTCACCCCGTCGCGGGGATTCGAACCACTGACCTTACGATCAACAAGTCCTAGGCACTGAGGTTTTACCCACAGCGCCACCCGCATCCCTCTCTTCTACTCTAGAAGTATTTATTTACAGCTGTCTGTACCTGAAAGGGCCAGGAGAGTCACAAGAACTGGTTTTGCTTTTTGTGGATGACATAATTCATGTCTCAAGGGCAGACAATCAGGTGCAGACGTTTGCCAAAGAGCTTGGAAAATGTTTCCAACTGAAGAACCTGGGCTCAGTGAGTTTACCTAGGGGTACAGATAGACGGGTCTGAAGATGGAAGGTTCTTGCTCAGTCAGAAAGGCAAGATTGAGCAGTTGCTTGAGAAGTTCAGAATGTCTGATTCTGCAGGGGTTAGAACACCCATGGAGACAAGCTACGTGAAAGACAGTCAGCTAGCGGAACACACTGAGTTTGAGAATGCTGAGATCTTTCAGGCAGCTCTGGGTAGTCTGCTGTATCTTTCCCAGTGGAGCAGGCTGGACATTGCTTTTGCTACCAATCGGCTCAGCAGGGAAGCTACAAAGCCCAGTGTAAGTGCCTGGAATGGTATTAAGCGGGTGCTGAGATACCTGCAGGATACCAAGGACTTCCGTCTCAAACTGTCAGCTACAGGTGATGCCAAACTCATGTGCTGGACAGATAGTGACTGGGCGAATCTGGATGACAGGAAGTCTGTATCTGGGATGGTCATAAAGTTTGGGGAATATCTAGTTGGGAGGAAGTCCCGGAAGCAGAGTCTCATTGCGCTGTCCTCTACTGAAGCTGAGTTCAGCGCAATGTCAGAGCTGTGCTGGGAACAGGAGTTCTACAGATGTCTGGTTCAAGAAATCTGCGGGGAGTGTTGCTTGCCCATCACTGTTTGGGAGGACAATCAACCCTGTCTGAAGTCGGCAGAGTCTGGGCAGTTTAAGGCCAGAACCAAACTGTGAGGAGAATCAGAACTTACAGGGTTAAACAGTTCTGTGTGAAGTCTCACATTCTGAGGCGTGGTTTTGTTCACATACAGGAATCTTTCTTTGTGTGTGAGTTACTTTTGCTTTTAGCTGTTGAGCCAGAGAGGATGTCCGCTAGTCCTCTGGGCTGATTTATGATGTTTTTCTGTACCTAATTAAAGCCTTCTTAGATAGCAAGAAGCCTGCAAACAGACTTTGATTTATCACCCACACAAGGCACTAACCACTGCTGCGAAACTCTGCTTGGAGCCAGGAAGAAAGCTCAAGGCTCACATTTGGCACAGGGAGCTGGGCCGGACACCATTACATCTGGACATACGTTTCCAGAATGTGTGTCAGAGTGTCCAGACAGGCTTGGTGAAGTTGCAGTACTTCCCAAGCCAGAAGAACCTGGCAGATGGGTTCACAAAACCTTTGAGCTTCCAGCGTCATGGGGAGTTCTGTGAAGGTTTGGTTTTGGGGTAAGTGGTGATACTTACAAGCCCCCAACAGCGCAGGACAAGAGGGAGTGTGAGGGGAATCAGAGCTTACAGGGTTAACAGTGTCATCCTGCCTGTTCTGGGGAGGAGCTTTCTCCACTTCTGGAGAACCTGGTTTCTTTGTTCTGTCTGACTTTCAGTTTTGTCTGGCACAGAGGATGTTTTTCGTGCCAGACACCGGCTGATTTATTACTGCTGTAAATAAACACTGATAGAGTAGAATGTTAGCTCTATATGAGAGTAATGTTAGCTCTATATGAGAGTAAGGGTGCCAGAATTTGCAGTGATGAAGCCAAAGTTGTATTTCTGATTAGTCTGTTACAAGGGGACACCAGGCGCTGGGTGGCCCCCATGCTCATTGCCTGGCATGCAGGGTTGTCCTTATGTGCCTTGCAAGGTAGTGGCGATGAAGATCAGAAGGGGCAATGGGACATCAAACACATAGAGTAAGGAAACAAATATTGGTATGCATTGCAAATAAATACATTAAACAGAAAACAGGCTATGACTGGACCCTTCCATTCTCTATTTTTGTAGCCATCTACATTTGAGCTTGCAGAATAAGGTCTTTTCAAGGTGTTTTTGAGGGCTGATGCCAAAGAGTCCTATAATCTAGATGGCAGAGTGTTGATTGTGCATTAAAACAGCAGGGTGGGGTGATCTCTTGGTTTTGCTTTTGTGTAGTGATCATGAGATCCAGTTTCGTTCATCTTAAGGTGTCTTCTTAGAGCCAAGCATCATCTGGCACCTTCTTACAAATATATGGCATTTGTAGATGACATTCTAATGCCATCCAGCAAGTATCAATGCAATCAAAGGTCATTGCAGTGCAGTCATGGTTGAATTCATCATGTAGCGAATAATAAATCCAGTACCTGAAAAGAAAAGAGCAGCACTGATCAATCAAGATTGGATGTCTACTTCCTCACCCACTTCCCGTGCCTTCTACCATTAAAAAGAGGTTCAGCTCTTTCTCTCTTAACATCTACCCACAATAGGAATGGATTTTTCTCCCCAGATTTTAGAATTCTAACCAAATTTTTAAAAAATCTGTGGGTCAAGACTGTCTCTTTTCTTTTTATATGAAGTGATTTCTCATAGGAAACTACAAAATAGTGAGGGAGTCACTTTGGAAGGCTCAGAGGTACACACAAGAACTTTCAGTGAATTTAGTTTGGGCAGTATCCAATGCAGTACTTCTGCTATTGCCAGGATTTCCATTTCTGCAACAGAACGGGCCCTCTCTCCTTTCCATATGCACCCACATCCTCCTCAGATCTGCTCTGGACTTTTGTGGGTGTTGGAGAGAGGGTTTTGAAAGAGAGATCCTTACTTTCTGATAGCAGAGTTACCACAGTAGCAATTATTGTGAGCATATTAAAACCTTGTTAGATTTGCATCCACCTTCATCCACCTCCTCTCACATCCATCACCCACCCCATGCATGAGTATAGCAATGACACTATACAGAAACAAAAATAGCTATGTCTACAAATGAAATACAAAATATAATCTATAACCACAAAGCCATTATACGGTTGTCTGAAATGATATGATATCTCTCACATATATATCTTATCTAAATCTTACATGCTGATTCTATGTTTACTCTAATCAATTATCCATAGTTGATAAAGATATCACCCTAGCCCCACACTTATTGTCAATTCTGGTAAGGCCTTGCATTCTCCAGTGTCCATTGTGTACTGAATCAAGTCCCACTACACAGCACTAAAATTCTGTGATAAATGTATTCTATAAATCCCTCTTTTTTAAAGCTCTCTATGAATCTATTAAATTGAAATTACTAGTAATGGTGTAGTAGGTTTTTTTTTACTCCCATGAGATGTTTGGGTGAGATCTGCCCTTTGATCAAGTCTAAGATCACATACAGCAGTGGTTCCCAATTGGTGGTCCATGAACCACCCACCCAGGGGCTTCTTGGTGCCATTCAAATAACAAAAACTGCCACAGAGATATTAAAATGTTCAAAGGTAGGGTGGCCCATGGCTTGGCTTTTGAAAAACAAGGGGTCTGCAGTATTTAGCTAACTGGGAACCACTGGCATACAGGGTTTAAGTTCCCAGCTAGTATTATACAACTCCACTGCCCGTTTGTAAAGTTTACTCAATACTTTCGCCAAAAAGGATTAGTGGTTGGTATTGGGTGCAACCTTCTTCATGGGTCATTGCCTTGTTGTGGAAAAGGGGCTTGAATAACTCAGTGAAGCTATGAGCTATTCCATGCAGTACCACCAAAGACGGACAGGTCATAGTGGAGAGTTTTGACTAAACGTGATCCACCTGGAGCAGGAACCGGCAAGCCACTCCAGTATCCCTGCCAAGAAAACTTCATGGACAAAAACAACAGGCATATAAAAGTTATGACGCTGGAAGGTGATCCCCTCAGGTCAGAAGGGGTCCAACATGCTACTGAGGAAGAGTGGAGGACAAGTACAAGTAGATTCAGAGCTGATGAAGCAGCTGGGCCAAAGCCAAAATGCCACTCAGTTGTGGTTGTGCCTGAAAGTGAAAGGAAAGTGAAGAATGCTGTAAAGAAAAATATTGCATAGGAACCTGGAATGTAAGATCCACGAACCATGGTAAGTTGGATGTGGTCAAAAATGAGATGGCAAGAATAAATATTGACATCCTGGGCATCAGTGAACTAAAATGGACAGGAAAGGGTGAATTCAGTTCAGATGATCATCAGATCTACTACTGTGGACAAGACTCCCATAGAAGTGGCTCTATGAGTGGCCCTCATAGTCAACAAAAGAGTGGCAAAAGCTGTACTGGGATTCAATCTCAAAAATGATAGAATGATCTCGATACGAATCCAAGGCACACCTTTTAACATCACAGTAATCTAAGTTTATGCACCAACTACCGGTGCTGAAGAAACTGAAAGTGATCATTTCTATGAAGACTTACAACACCTTCTAGAAATGACATCAAAGAAGGATGTTCTTATTATAGGGAATTGGAATGCTAAAGTAGGGAGTCAAGAGATAAAAGGAACAGCTGACAAGTTTGGCCTTGGAGTTCAAAATGAAACAGGGCAAAGACTAATAGAGTTTCATCAAGAGAACAAGCTGGTCATCACAAACACTCTTTTCCAACAACACAGGAGACGACTCTACACATGGACATTACCAGATGGGCAGCATTGAAATCAGATTGATCATATTCTTTGCAGCCAAAGTTGGAGAATCTCTATGTGGGACAAGAACTACATTTAGAACTGAACATGGAACAACTGATTGGTTCAAAATTGGGAAAGGAGTATGACAAGGCTGTATATTGTCTCCCTGTTTATTTAACTTATATGCAGAATTCATCATGTGAAAGGCTGGACTGGATGAATCCCAAGCCGGAATTAAGATTGCTGGAAGAAATATCAACAATCTCAGATATGCAGATGACACAACTCTGATGACAGAAATGAGGAGGAATTAAAGAACCTCTTAATGAGGGTGAAAGAGGAGAGCACAAAATATGGTCTGAAGCTCAACATCAAAAAACCGAAGATCATGGCCACTGGTCCCATCACCTCCTGGCAAGTAGAAAGGGAAGAAATGGAGGCAGTGAGAGATTTTACTTTCTTGGGCTCCATGATCACTGCAGATGGTGACAGCAGTAACAAAATTAAAAGAGGCCCGCTTCTTGGGAGAAAAGCGATGACAAACCTAGACAGCATCTTAAAAAGAAGAGACATCACCTGCTGACAAAGGTCTGTATAGTTAAAGCTATGGTTTTCTCAACAGTGATGTATGGAAGTGAGAGCTGGTTCATAAAGAAGGCTGAATTATGGTATCGGAGGAGACTCTTGAGAGTCCCATGGACTGCAAGAAGATCAAACCTATCCATTCTGAAGGAAATCAGCCCTGAGTGCTCACTGGAAGGACAGATTGTGAAGCTGAGGCCACCTCATGAGAAGAGAAGACTCCCTGGAAAAGATCATGATGTTGGGAAAGATGGAGGGCACAAGGAAAAGGGGACGACAGCGGACGAGATGGTTGGACAGTTTTCTTGAAGCTACTTATATGAGTTTGACCAAACTGTGGGAGGCAGTGGAATACAGGAGTGCCTGGCATGCTCTGGTCCATGGGGTCATGAAGAGTCGGACACGACTAAACAACTAAACAACAACAACATTGGGAGATTTTGATCTAGGAGACCTTGCCAAATTTAAAGCAGCCCTCTGTTATAGAATCATAGAATCATAGAATCATAGAATCATAGAATCATAGAGTTGGAAGAGACCACAAGGGCCATCGAGTCCAACCCCCTGCCAAGCAGGAAACACCATCAGAGCACTCCTGACATATGGTTGTCAAGCCTCTGCTTAAAGACCTCCAAAGAAGGAGACTCCACCACACTCCTTGGCAGCAAATTCCACTGTCGAACAGCTCTTACTGTCAGGAAGTTCTTCCTAATGTTTAGGTGGAATCTTCTTTCTTGTAGTTTGGATCCATTGCTCCGTGTCCGCTTCTCTGGAGCAGCAGAAGACTGTTAATCCAGTCTTGGTAAAAAATGCCAGACCAGTTCGCTCTTCTACTACCAAGCTGTGGATGAGTGAGATCTTACTCTGACCTTGTACATCCATCAACATAGGTTGAAAAGAGTTGTTAGATACTTAAAGGAAACCTTGAACTGTCTTAAACTGCCAGCTGACAGCAAAAACAATTAGGAATCTGTCAGGGCTTCTTCAGTTGTGATCCCTGCTCTGCAGGGGTTGGACTAGATGACCCTTGGTGTCTCCTCCAACTCTAAATTTCTATGTGTCTATGATTCTATCCAAGAGAGTGACATGAACTACCCTCTCTTACACACTTACTTCATCTGCTACTATTATTTTAGGTTTGAGATTGCTGGTTATTCAGATTGTTTAGCAGATAACAGCAGAAATACTTTCCTAAAGAGAGTGTTGCTCAGCTTTAGGTCCCTACAAGTCCTTTTGAAGCTGAGCTAATCAGCACAAACCATTTAAAAAGATGCCTTCTTCCTCTTCTGAATTACCACATTCATTAGGTTAGAGAAGCAGGAAGAGGAGCCTTCCTGCCTCTCCAACCTAGTGAGAAGCAGCAGTCACTCACCTGGACAATGATGTGGAGGAGTACATATGCAGATCTTTGGTAGTAGAGAATATTACATGACAAAATATATTTGGAGAGGGAAAGGATCAATTATGTAAACAGAATCTGCAACTTTTTGGAATGCATGCCATTAGCAAATATTTCTTCAAAAACTTACTCGTCTTCAGGTAGCCTCCCTGACAGCCATTTCCATTCCAAATCCTTGTCTTTAAAGAGTCCAATCCAAAAAAACTTTCTACGACCTTTTACTTGATGGTTTATAAAAAACTAGAGTAGGAATGGAGAGGAAAAAAAACCAGAAAATCTTCAGTAGGAATGAGGAGCATCCCAAAACCTTTCTAGACAATTTCCCTTTCTTGGGGAGACTATAATCCTTTGCAGACATTGAACAGACATAAAACAAAAACATTTCAAAAGGAGCAGGTGTCACAATTGAAGACCCAATCCATATTTTTTTGGGAAGCAATGATCAAAATTATACATAGTATTCCAAGTATGGTTGCATCAAGTACCAAGAATAATTTTGTATGGAGGATGCGCTATTGTCCCCCTGATCCAAACTATGATGATGCTTATGATTGATGAACTCAAGGAAGTATTCCAAAGATGAAATATTGTAGTGAAGGGTAACTTCACCTGCCCTCACCAATACTGGCTACATATGTCTTCCAGTCATGACACAGAGTTAAAATTTCCAGAGACTATAAATGACTTTGCCATAGAACAGTTCATTTTGAAACCGACAGTGACCTGTGTAGCAAATACTCAAATTTGGTACCCATGCTTGTTTGTTGGTTCCAGAGACACTGGAATCAGTCTGGTTGTGGTATGCTTGATGGGCTGATGGTGGGGTCTCAGCCATGTCTGGGCTCTGCAGCACCCCAGTAGCCCCTCTGCCTGGGCTAAGGGGCTGGGAGAGGGATATACCTTGCAAGCTCCTCTAGAGTCATCCCCATGATACTCTCATGCCTGAAGGTTAGGGTGGTGAGGGAAGCCTTTTTTCTAAGCACTCAGTACATCTCAAAGAGCAGAGGAAGAATCTACAGGAAATCCAAGGGATAGATTCCCCTCAGGTATCTACTCCTCCTCTTCATTCAAGACCTCCTTCCTGACTGCCAGGTTCAGGCTATTAGAGTTCAGCGGTTCTAAGAAACCTTAGTTAGCCCCAGATGGTAGCAGCTGGTCCCTGCCCCACCCACCCCTTAGCTTGACTGATGGAGTTGCTGTCTTGGCTGCATATAGGTGTATTGGAACTTCTTAATTGGATAGTGATGATAGGATCCCTTTGACTCAAGGAGATCCCCTACCTTTTTCAATACTTGGCTTTGATGCTCACCTGTTCTTCCACTGTTTCTATAGAAATGAGCTTGGCGCCTTCCCTCTCACACTTTTTTTGGGAATCCATCCATGAGCGTAGCTCAGCAGAAAACAGATAGAATGCATTTGAAAATATAACCCAGCCATCTTTCAAGTTTCTAGTAAGGATGTCTTTGAGTTAAGCCAGAGGACGAGACGAAGAGAAAAAGAAAACAAGATAGGGAATTTAAGGGGAACAAACTTGTATTTCTGTGCAGATTTCAATTATTTTTGTTAAGTTCATTTCTGTGGCCACATGATAACATATACTCATCTAGGAAGCTCAAAAAGATTAAAATAAGAGCAACGTTAACTCTTCAACCACTTTATGATGCTGCAGTAAATACCCGGTGGGAGGGGCATAGCTGGAACAGGGAGCACAGTGAAGAACCTTTCATTTGAGGGAATAGACAAAAGATGCAAGTCCCCTCACAGGCCTTATCTGAACCCCAGGGGCCTCACCCACTTGTTTCCACCTGGATACTTAGGGCACAATTAGGGCAGACGTTGTAGCCTTATTAGAGTTTACCGATTGGTGGGCTCTGCGTTGCTCCCGGACGGGAGGAAGGAAGTCAAATGACACCGAGGGTTGGTTCAGAAAAAGAGTTCTTTATTTCTGCTCTCCGGAACAGCAGAAAGGCACATTCCAAAGAAATGAGAGATTTCATGCAGTATTGATATCCTCCAGGCACCCTCTCCCCCTTCCCCAGGAATCCAAGCACGTCAGCTTGTACACGCAGGTTGACATCACAGATGTTCCTGCTCTGGTTACTCTTAACCATAAAAGGGTTTTCCTTCCTGTACTTCTGACCATAAAAGGATATTCCTGTTCTTATACTCTTATCTTGGAGCAAGAGGTCACCAACTCCAAGAACACACTCTGGCACTGTTCCCAGACTAGGTCTGTGCGTCAGAGTGTGTCCAGGACGTAAGATAAAACCTAGATGTGTCATCCGTGTTCTACTGAACAGCCAAGGTCATCCTTGCCATCACAAACTGATAAAGGAGAGAGCTCTGAACACTTGTTTATACAGCCACGCTTTTGTTTATACATTGAGCTCAGAGCTCAAGTTAATGGATTTTAGCTAAGGAAAAATAGGGATTTTGGTGCAGTTTCAAACTGCCTGCACAGTCAGTTTTGGGTTTGGGAAACCCATTCCTTCAACGTGAAGGTTGGGAAGGGGGAGTAGCTGTGGTTTATCAAAATTCTCTTTCTCTCTCCAGGCTCTCTGTTCAGTTGTGGAGGGGAAAGGGGACTCTAGAGTGTGTTGTTGATATTGGGCAACTGGGACAGATGAGGGATTCTGCTGGTTTACCACCCGCTTTTCTGCCTAGCTGTCTCCCTGCCTGAGCTGGCAGGATGAATCCAGTGAGCTTCCAAATGACTCTGGGGGATTTTCCAGCTGATCTGACTGGTGCTCCTGCTGAGCTTTGACCAAGCTCTGGCACAACCGACTACTGTTGTTGTTTTTGTTTAGCCGTTTAGTCATGTCCGACTCTTTGTGACCCCATGGACCAGAGCATGCCAGGCACTCCTGTCCTCCACTGCCTCCCGCAGTTTGGTCAAACTCATGCTGGTCACTTCGAGAACACTGTCCAACCATCTCGTCCTCTGTCGTCCCCTTCTCCTTGTGCCCTCCATCTTTCCCAACATCAGGGTCTTTTCCAGGGAGTCTTCTCTATTGGAGCCTCAACTTCAGTACTACTACTACTACTACTCCTTCATTTACATGCTTTTTTGTTTTCCCTAGCCACTCTGGGTGACTTCCAACAAATTAAAACACAATTGTACACAAAACATTAAAAACTTATCTGAACAAGGCTACCTTCAGATGTCTTCTGAAAGTCAGGTAGTTGTTTATTTCCTTGACATCTGGTGGGAGGGAGTGCCACAGTGTGGGCACAGCTACCCAGAAGGCCCTCTGACTTGGCTTGGACCATTGACACAATTGGCCCTGAGTGCCCTCTCCCGCTTCATGCAGCCTGTTTTGCCCCCTGGTATACTGCAGAGGTTAGGGTGAAGAAAGAAGCTGGGAGATGGCTTGAACGCGTGTGGAAGAAACTCTGGTTGAATGCAATCGACTACTAGTAAGGGCTCATCCTCGAACCTAACAAGTGGCAGTAAAGGCTACAAAGAAGGCTTGCTTTGCTTCCTCCATTGTGCCATCCAGCAGAGCTTTCCCAGGTAGTGCAGGCCCTGCTACAGTCTGGCCCGATGGAGATGGTAGAACTGAAAGCAGCTTTCTGTGACTTGTTTGCAAAGCATTTGGAGGATAAAATTGCTTGCATCTTGACCCTTCTATTACAGCAGATGAATCTCGAAGGGTGTCCAGAGCAGAGTCTGTTTCCATTGTGATGGCTGTGTTTCAGTCAGTATGGTTCAAGAATGCGGACAAGGTGCTTGGATCGGTCAGGAAAACCACTTGCACTCTGGCCCCTGCCCCTTGTGGCTGATACAAACTAGCAGGGAGGGTACAGCTTTTTTAAAGTCACTATCTTCTTGATTCCTGAGTCTGCCAGTCACTTTTGCCTTTTCAGGATAGTCCAGCATAGTTTGTGATTCTTCCTTGCTCGGAACTGTTGCTTCTTTTCATCTTTGGGCTAGTGGCATCCTTGCAGCAGTTGTCGCATACAGAAACAATCCTTTCTGGTCTTTTGGAATATCAGAACCTGTGATTCCTAACAGAAATGCTTCTGGTTTTCTAACAAATGTTACTTTAAACATTTTTTTCAATTCATTTTATATTATTATATATTCATTATATATCACTTCCCAGAAAGACTTTGTTATCTTGCATGACCACCACATATGATAAAAGCTACCCTCCTTCTCTTTACATTTCCAACAAATTTTAGAGCTTGTTCTATCCATTTCAGATAACTTTGTAGGATACCACCAACACATCATTTTCATATAATTTTCTTACATCGTACAACATGCTGTGAATTTCAAATCTGTTTTCCATAGCCTCTCCCAATCTGCTATTTGTTATGTCCTAAGTCCTTTGCCCAGTTTATCATAACCTATTTAACCTGTTCATCCTTTGTATGCCATTCTAGGAGCAGGTTATACATTTTGGAAAGATGTTTTAGTACTATTTTCTAAAAGTTCTTTTTGGAATCTTGATATCGTATCACTAAAAGCTCTCTTGAAGATATCATTCACTTGCAAATACTATAGCCAATCTGTTGCTAGTTCTCTTATCTCTTAAAAATCTTTTAATTTTAAATGATTTTCTACTTCAGTTTACAATTATCTATGGCTCTTATGTTCACTTTTCTCAAAGATATTGCTTCCAAAGGGAAAATCCACCAGGGTGTTTTTTCCCTCAAATAGATTATTATACTTTTCCCATACGCTGAAAATCAATTTTCTTATTATATGATTCTGAAATGCTTTATGAACCTTTGCTTTTTCATACCATATGTAAGCATGCCATCCAAATCTATTATCTAGAATAGATAATAAATCTAAATCTAGAATGTCTGCACTTTTCAGCGTGATCCAGCATCCTGGAGCCAGCAGAAACAGGATGCTTCGTAATAGAATTACAGATCCGGCAGGGAGAAACCTCCTCTCTCTCTTGCATCTGTTAATAATTTATATTTTATCCTTGGTTTCTTCCCTTGCCAGATAAACCTGGAAATGTCCTTTTGCCATTGCTCGAAGTATCCGACACTGCCTATTACCGGGGCTGATTGAAATAAGAATAACATTCTTGGTAGTACATTCATTTTTTCAAAGATATTCTTCCCCAAAATGATAAGTTCATTCTTCCCTATAACTCTAAGTCTTTCTTTTATTTCTTTCATTCCTTCTCATAATTGTCCTTATATAAATTAGTATTCTTAGCTGTTAACAAAACTCCTAGATATTTTCCTTTTTTATGTATAACTAAATCTGTTTTCTGTTGTAAATCTTTTTTTCTTTCTCCATCATATTTTTAACCAAAACCACCAACCGTCTAATCGATAAGTCCTAGGCTCCGTTGTTTAACCCACAGCGCCACCTGCGTCCCTTCGTCTTATTGAAATTTAATTTAGAACCTGTGACCTGCCCAAATTCCCGTATCTTTTCTAAAACTTTTGGTAGAGTATCTTTAAAGTAAAGATACTTCCTGGGCAAGGTTCTTGAGTAGGTAGTCGTGGACCAGATCCGGGTGCTCTTGGAGGTAACTGATTTTCTAGATCCATTTCAATCAGGGTTTAGGTCTGATTTTGGCATAATTTCTTTAAAGGCAATCATTTTTCCCAACGTCAAAGAAAAAGAGGGGAAATGGCATTATACAACTCTCATGAAATGTGTGTTTGGTGCTGACCATCCTTCACTTGTTTTTATGTATAAGTGACGCAATCTGCATTTGTTCCCCTTCTCTGCTTTCGCATCTAAAGCTTTATAAACTATTTTATAATCACTTTACCTATTATGTATTCAGTGTTCTGTGCTTGCCTGAATTTGAATATGAACTAAGGATTCTGAGCCACTGTGTTCTGATTCAATACATGATATCCAATCACGCCACTCCTTTCTCCCACACAAGGCTGCAATCGTGGAGCACCTGCACTGGCTTTTGGACAAGAAATCTCCTTGGATCTGGGGCCATGCTCAGAATGCTGCTTTCAATGCTGTCAAACACCTGCACTCCTCTGACAGTGTCCTTACCCATTTTGATGAGACCAAGCCCGTTGTGCTTGCCTGTGATGCCTCTCCATATGGAATTGGCGCAGTCCTCAGCCACCAGTTGCCAAATGGGTGGGAGGCCCCCAATGCATTCTACTCCAGAACTTAGTCATCTACAGAATGCAATTGCACCCAAATCAAAATGGAGGCCCTTGCTATTGTGGCAGAAGTGAAGAAGTTCCATGACTACATCTATGGCCACCACTTCACGATCATGACTGACCACAAGCCTTTGCTGGGCCTTTGCGCTCCTGCATGGCAGACGCCCCAGATCCTGTCCCTGAGGATGCTAAGGTGGTCCATCTTTCTCAAGGCATATGACTATGTGCTGCACCACCACCATGGCAAGAGTCTTTGCCACACAGATGCCCTAAGCTACCTGCCTTTGCCAGGCATAGACTCCGACCCATCTCCAGTCCTCAGTGTGATGCTGCTAGAGACTCTGCCCCAGCTGCCGCTCCATGCCACGAATGTCGCCACACACTTGGTGAAGCGTCGCGCCACCTCTCGAGTCCTCAACTGGGTGTGGAGGGGGTTGCTAGTGGGTTGCCTTGATGCAGAATTCTCCCCATTTGTCTCCCAGCAATATAAGTTGTCAGTCCACAAGGGATGCCTTTTGTGGGGAAACCGGGTCATGATCCCTGCTAAGCTGTGGACCAAAGTGCTGGAGGCTCTCCATGTGAGTCACCCAGGCATTGTCCATATGAAAGCTCTGGCCAGTAGCTACATCTGGTGGCCAGGCATTGATTCTGCAGTAGAAGAGTGGGTCCAGCACTGTCAGTCTTAACCAGACATGCCTCAGGCCCCAATCCGACAGTAGGAGATAACACACACACCATGGTCAAGACTCCGGATTAATTTTGCTGGCCCATATCAAGGTCAGACATTCTTCATCATTGTGGACTCCTTGTCAAAGTGGCTCAAGGTGGTGGCAGTGTCAGCAATGACCTCCAGGATTGTCATCTGGGCCCTGCTGCAGGTCTTTCTTCACCCTACACGGCCTGCCAGACAACATCATGTCTGATCATGGAGTACAGTTCATGTCAGCCAAGTTACAGAAGTTCATGGCCTACGACCTAATCCGGCATGTCACAGCAGCACCGTTCTACCCATCAACGAATGGGCAATCTTAGAGAATGATGAGGACCATCACGAAATCCTTCGACTGGATTGCCCAGGGGGCTGGAACAATTGGCTAGTGGATTTCCTGCTACAGCAGCACATTCAAACTCTGCATTGAATAGTTGAAGCCCAGCAGAGCTCCTTATGAACTCGAAACTGGCATTACTCCTGGATTGGTTGCACCCTAATCTGGCATCTGATCGACCTCTTGGCTGAGAGGCTCCAGCGGCCCCCAGTTCCTTCACCCCTGATGACCCTGTCTACATCCAGAACTATGGGGATTGTCCTGCCTTGCTCTCCACCGCTGTTACCAGGGCACTGGGCCAGGCTCCTACAAGGCTGCCGCACCAGATGCTCAGGTCCACTGCCAGCATGTGGACCAAACACCCCACCATCTGGCTGATGCCCCAGCTCCAGTCACTGCTCCCACACCTGAGCACAGGGACAAGGTGAACGATCAGCCTGGCTCACAGACTGATGCACCCTATGAGAACCCAGTGGCCCAGGGTAGGGCTGAGGAATGGGGCCCCAACACTGCACCACCAGACAGCGCAGAGTCAATGACATCAGTGACACCCACGACAACAGCTGCAGCTTCCTTGGCATCCCCAAGAACCCAAGGCAATCAGCTTCACCACTCCCAGAGGGTGAGGCACTGCCCTCACCACTTTGATGACTATGTGTGTTGACGGGGATACGGTTTTGTGCCTAAGAGGGAGGGGTGTTATGTATTCAGTGGTCTGTGTTTGCCTTAGCTTGAGTCTGCACTAAGGATTCTGAGCCGCTGGGTTCTGATTAAATACATGATATCCAATCACAGGACATTTCAGGATTTGGGCTATTGCGATTGGCCCTTAAACTCTCAGTTATGATTCTCAGCTTGGGAGTTTAGACAGCCAATCATCTTGAGAGTGGGAGTGATCCAGGACTTCAGAAATGTATATAAGCATTTGCTTTGCCCCTGTTGTCCAGTTCTGTTAGTTCAATAAAAGGTTCTTGCTGTTATCACTGGGTCTTGCTTGGTGGGAACCCACCTAAAATTCATTACCTATTTAGGTAGTGTTTCCAGTGAAGGAGAGCCCACCTTAGATACCTGTGCAGATAAATGGAGGACCCTATCCTGACCTAGCTTTGGCGGTCTGAGTACTTGCTGTGGCAACAGATCAGGCCCGTGGGTAGAGAGAGGGTTGCTATTGTCCACAGGTATTCTAACCCACATGCCAATGAGCCAATTCACTATGTGAGGGGGCTTGAGGGCTCCTTTCTGATGATGGGCTTGTGCAACTGGGGAGAAATTTTGCTGTTGCACCAACCACCCCACTTCCCAGCAGTCTCTCTGAACAAGTTGGTGGAAGTTGCCTCGGGAGTGCTATTCAAGAATCTGTCTCCCATGGGTGAATATAATAAAGGACAGGTCATTTAGCTGACCTGTTTTGATTGTCTCTTCTATAGCAAAGAATGGCAGTCTTTTCTTTCCTCAGCATAGAAGCTAAATCAATTCAGCAGATCAGGAGAGCTGAACTGGATTTCTCTGATGTTTCCCTAGGGTGGCCAAGTGCAAAGAAGGGCACCACTCTGCTCTGGTAGTAAGAGTTTTCACACCTTTCAGCTGGTGCAGACTCAGGGCAGGTTCCCACTGTGCTACAATTCTTCAGCATCATAGGGTAGCTTACCAATTTCCTTTTGCAGTTGATCATTTCTTTTGGCAAGATACCGCATTTCCTCTGATAAGTTTTGAGCTGCAGCGAGTATTTGGAAGTCTAAAGGTTTGAAACAGTTTAAGGCAGGAGTATCTGAAATAACAATCTGCAAATATTAAGAAACCATTTTCAAACATTTTGGAACACTCTAGCCTGAATCAAGAAGCAGAGCTCCAGGATGGGGTTCTTATGAATATGGGGACAGACTTGATTCTCTGTGGCTGAGATCACCAATGAAAAGCCTCAGAAGAATCCTGCAGCTGGATCAGACCAAAGACCCATGCAATCCACTATCCTATTCTCATATTGAAACTGGCTCACGAAGTATCTCTAATCTTCCTCTCCTATGTCCTCCTTTTCTGCTGGGAATCACAGGGTCACAAAACAATTCCAAAACTCTGGGCTGGAGCCGCCCAGAGTGGCTGGGGAGACTCAGCCAGATGGGCGGGGTATAAATAATAAATTATTATTATTATTATTCCCGCCTCGAGTCCCACAGTAAAGCCAAATATACAAAGATTACTTTACGGTTTTCAATTATGCTTTCTGAAATCTAAGAAAATACAGGCACCCAAACTCTTTTTTGATGAATATTGAGTTGCATTCCACAGAGAACTAAGCAGGACGTTACGTCACTGCAAGGATTTCTCCTTGTGCAATGCAATCTTCAGTCCCTTTCCCTCTCTTTGCATCTGTTCTGAAGTTTCCCCCACTTTGGTGGCAGCTTTGGTGATGGCATGCAGGGAGAAGTGGGGGCAAAGTTTCCTTGTGCCAGTGCTAAAATCTTGCAGTAGCACAAACATTGTGAATTGCAGTTTGATGGGGAAGGACAGCAATTCTAGTGGGGAGATGTGAGAATCACAACCATCTGCTTTTCTTCCTGCTGAGCAATGAAACCGTGATAAACTCTATTGGGTGATGAGTTTCCTTGAATATGTGTTTTGCTCACACAATATGAATCCCAAAGTGAACTAAAGGAATTGGAGTTTGTTTAAACTAAACACGTTCTAGCAAAAGTGAGGATTTGTATATAAAATGCTTACCATCCTTGTCCTTATAGTTTGAATCAACCCCAACAACAATGTTTCGAATCATGTTCATTGCCATTTCAATCTCCACTCTTTTTTTCATTTCCTTCTGATCTAAGGAGGAGGTAGGTAGAAAAGAAATGAAGAAACTGTTTTCTAGCTTACTAGTCTGATGAGCTGGGGGAGGGGATACTTGGTGTCAAACTGCTTTTAATATTGAATTTTAAATAATGACTTGTAACATGTTCCAGGACCTTAGGGAGAAGGCTGAATAAAAAATCAAATCAACAAAAACATAAATTTAGACCTTTATACTTTATACTTTAGACCTTTATACTTTCCAGACTTTAGCTTACAAAGTTTTTGCTTCAATCTATTTACAAAAAACGGGAGGCGGACTTCCTGTTTAGAGCCTTCCCGCTTCAGTGCCAAATTACAATGTTTCTTAATCCAATTTTCCGTTCTACTCACGGATACTTATTTAGAGTCCAATTGTCCACAGGAAAAAGTCAGCGCTCTCCGGCAACGGCTGTGCGGCTTCACTCCGTAAAAATAGCGGTTGATTCAAAACACCGCGCCACTCACCCCACGTCGCTTCGGATCCCCGAAAAAGGGTTTCCCTGCGAGTAGGGGAGGCGCTCCTGGTGTCAGCCGAATTCCACGTTCCCAGGCTTCCTCCGCCTGGGATTTTTAGAGGGTCTCCGCCCTCGCCGTGGCGGCAAGACCCGATTTTCACGGAGCGGGTTCCTCTTGGTCAGAGGAACTCCGTCATTGCCGATGGCGCTAACCCGGAGGTCCGAGTTCTATTAATATTTTCTGCTCACAGCCCTTATATTGGTGTTTCCTATGCCTTGATTGTGGCTGCCCTGCTGGTCTGAAGTCCGGTTTCCATTTGGCCTGCTGCTTCTGTCATCAGATGGTTGGCCTTCCTTTGAAAGCTTTAGATTTTTTGTTGTCTAGATACATCTGTCCTCTTTGTCCTGCACACTTGCATTTGCCAAGCTGCCTCATGCCCTGCCATATGCTCAAAATATGCAAATTCCTAGATAATTTGGTTCACTCCACCCCAAGCTTTGCTTACTTGGAGTGCCCTTTAAAAATGAATTCGCTTGGCAAATAGGTCATGTGTTTATTTATCCAGTGCTATTTTTCTGGAGAAAGAGGTGCCAAACTCACCTTGAATATCTCCCTTGTTCTCTTAGATTGGCAACAGAGCCATCCTGAGAGGGGCTGGAACTGAGTCCTGATGAATTCCGATTGAAAAAAGCCCTGCACATATCTTGATATTTATGTAGGATGTGGATCCACCCACTTTGGCCATGGCCTTATCCTCTGCAGCCTGTTGTCCCCAAGCACTTTCCTTCAAGGGACTGGAGCCCTAGCAGAGGGCAGGATGGAGAGGACCAAGAATGAGGTCTCTCTTCCAGCAAATGAGGATTAGTTGGGAAAGGAGCAGAGAATGGCAACTGGGAAAGGGAATTGTCCAGGGTGTTCCAGGGACTTGTGTTAGCCTATACTTCCGTTCCAAGTGCTGGAACTAACTTATTCAGGGAGAACAAAACAGTGACATTGCTCTCAATGGGTGACAGCTGTAACTCCCTCCATGAAATCAAAGAGGGATCAAAGGGATAAATGGAAGGTGGATCCTGCCATTTGGCATTGAAGGAAAACCCGTGATATTAATTGCAAAGTATGCTAATTATGTACTTACATAGAAGGAAAATCAGCAGTGTCATGGCAGCGAGGATGAAAATCTCAAGTACGACAAATCTTTCACCCGTTGGAGATGTGATGAAAGCAACCATGCTCTGAAAACCAGATGCTTGAAGAAAGAAAATTCTGCTTTAACCATCAGTAACCAACATACCACTTCCAGCCCAGGAAAAAGGGGTTCCATATGCTGTGGCAGCCATCAGCCAGAGACAGTCCATTGTTCAGGGGGTGGGCACTTGGGAGAATAAGCAGGTGGAGGAAGCAAAGCGAGACGGCTTGCTGCTTGAGGAAACTTTTCTGACCAATTTCTGGATCAGAAAACAGTAGCCTTTGTTACTAAAGGACTTTCTGCTCCCCAAACAAATGACAAGATGCGCCCTCTGTACACATAATGCCACATACAGAAGCTGGGCTTTACTGGCCATTGGCTGATGTTTCGATGCTGCTGATGGGGCAGCAGACTAACTGAGGAGGTGCAGCGCAGCTTGTGTGGTCTACCCATCTCTGTCCACCCCAGCACCTGCTACCTGAGGCAACTGCCTCATTCTGCCTAAGCAAAGAGTGGACTGAATCCTGGGGTTTCTACGGGGCTTCGTGGATCTCTGGCACCCAAAGAGCTTTGTGTGCTTTTCTCTGCACTCCTCCCTAGCACAACATGACTGGTTCCACTCCCTGCCTGTCCCTCCATCAACTTCCCTTTCCCATGCATTCCTCTACTTTATGAGAAACCTCATTCCATATGACTGTGCTATATACAGACCACCAGTTTCATCTGCTGCTGCTGCTGTTGCTGAATCCTTTCTGGGTGCTTCATTATTTATGGACTCTGCACCCTTTTCGGGTGTTGGCGTCTCCACTCTTTCAGTTTTGTCTGTGAAACAAAAAGCCATTATAACATGGAGGATAAGAGTTTGAATACATTGGTTGGAGCATAAGTCTCTCGTCAAGTATGATAGTTCACAATGTTCACTTTTGTTGTCGTGCACTTAACGCCCTATTACAAGAACATACGGTAATTTTTAAAGTAGATACACATGTAGAAATGTAAATGTTTGCATTATTATAAAAGATGCAGCAGGAAATGACTGACAGTAGGACCCACAAAGGCGAGGGGAGAAGTCCAGGAGATTCTCTGGAATCTTGTTTTTATATTGTATATTGATATGTGACTGTAAAATTTTAATTTGCAAAACCAAATAAATAAATTTTTAAAAACCCCAAAAAAGACTTTGGAGACCACAAGTTGGACCTGGAAAAGAAGCAGACGGAAGCTGTGCATTTCTTGTGCATCCCTCTACTTTATGAGAAACCTCATCCCATATGACTGTGCTGTATACAGACCATCAGTTATAGTTGCAGGTGGTTCTGCCTCCGCTGGGGCTTCTGCTGGTGCTTCTGCTGGTGCTGTACGCTTTGTGGGTTTTTTGGGCTTTGTGGGCTTTGCAGGCTTTGCGGGTTCTGGCTTCTCCATCCTCTCAGTTTTGTCTGTGAAGCAACAATCTAGTATCAGATAAAAACAAATGGAGAATAAGACTATGAGCACATTAGGTAGAAAGCGGCTTCTATCACTATTAGACAATCCTTTCCCATGAAGACATTGTTGAGTCCAACATAATTGAATCGTCTCTCTCTTTTCCTTTTGCTGGATCAATCTCAGTTTTAAACCAAAAGAATGTTCCATATGGATTCCAAGGCACTTAAAAATTTTTTTTAAGTAATATAGCACATTCTCATTTTGCATCCTATTCCTCTCTAAACTCTTGGACATCTAGTTTACAGGACTCCAGTAAGATGTTCACCATTTAATAGATAGTGTGGGATCTATTAGGGAAGTTTTTAATGTGTGGTGTTTTATTTTGTTTATTTTGTTTTTAATCTGCTGGCATCCGCCCAGAAAGTTGCTGGGAAACCCAGCCAGATGGGCGGGGTATAAATAGTAAATTGTTATCATTATCATTATCATTTGAGGTCTTCAGATGTTCCTGGGTGCCAATTCCCTCCGTCACAGGCATCATGGTCAATGGTTGGGGATGACAGAAGTTGTAGACCAATAACATGCTCCCCATCCTTGATGGAAGGTGTATGCATTTAATTATATAACTGCCTCCTGATCATCAGAAAAGATGGAGTACTAGATCTGGTCTCAGTTGGATGCATGTAAATCCAATTGAGTCTAGCAAGACTTTGGAGAGCATGAGTTGGACCTGGAAAAGAAGTAGAGGGGAAGCTGTTACCCAGGCTCCCCAAGTGTGCCATTTTGTTTTCTTTTTGCAAAGACCCAGCCTGACATCTGATGCTGTTTCTTAAAGAAAGAAAGAGGGATGTTTTCTAATCCCGTTTCAAAGCCATCTGAGCTAGCAGTCCTTGATATGCTAGTAAATGGGTTTTTCCAAAGAATTGTATTTTCTGGATCATGATCTGGATCTGGATAAATAAATTGGGCCCATGAATCAGAGCAGGGCACCTGTATTGCCAGGGAATAAAACAGAATGTGGTGCTCCTGGTTTGCAATGTAGCTGGAGCTTTAATATAAGGAATCTGGCTGTTTGAGAAGAAGTGAAAGGAACTTCATGGCTTGGCCAGCTATCAAACACTTGACTGCATAGGGGAAGGAAGGAGGAAGCAGTTGACTGGGAACAAGGAAAATAACCTTACTTTGACCGAACCACAGAGATAAAGAATGCAAATGAAGGCTCTCATGCCCACGTGTGTCGATTCCCAGGCCAGATCAAAGGATGGGAGTGAAATAACATCATGAATTACATCTGTTGCCAGCTTGGCATGAGAACTTCACTATGGACTATATAAGGGCCAGCAGCTGAAGGGGACAGGGAGATCTTGATACACTGTTCTATACTACATGCCAGAATGTGAAGAGAATGACCACCTGCCAGCCTGAAGTGTCCCAGATAAACCTTCCAAATCTTCATTGGCTGGGGAGACACAAAGAACCTATGCTATCTGTAATATCATTATTGTTGCCTAAGACATTCTGCTTATTGGTTATATTGCTAGCTTTATAGTTTATTCTAGTCACTGTTGGCTTTATATTAGACTCTATTCTACGTTGCTGATCAATTTCTTTGCTAATGTTTACCAATTAATTGATGTTTTTCTTTACCTAAGAGTCTCCGTCCAGTGGAATCCAAAGAACCTCTTGCTTGCCTGGTGGTTGCTATTGGCCAAACAGCCAGTAATACAGTAATACAACTGGTAACACAGCACCTGTACACATCCTTATAATGTACCACCACTCAGTTTCATTGGATGACCCTGAGGTCTAGTATTTAAAAGAGAAAAACCATCTGTAGTTTATAAACGCTCCCTATCATTTTCCCTCTTGGTGACCTTTCGGCCCTGGAATGAGTCCCTGCAAATATAAAGGTTGTAAGGAAAGTGTTCCACCCCTCAGACCTCTTTCTGTTTGGATACCTTGGTGTTGTCATGAAACAATCTTTTCCCTAATTTCTTCTTAAGGTTGTTTCATCCTCCCACTGGCTAAGAACCACCTCCCTTGTGATGTCAGGCATTCCAGAACTCCTCCCATTTAGGCTATACCATTTCCTGATTGGCTGCTGATCATATCCAATCAGCATTCCACATAAAGCATAAACCCAGGCAAATGTTGGTTTCAGAGTTGATATCCTACTTATTTTTTTCAAAAGTTATTAGTTTTATTTTTTATTTAGGCTGGGTACATACTTTACCTTCAAAGCATATTCCCCAGAAGAATCCTTACTCCTCATAAACTCTGCTAGTAATATTGGAAAGCTTCCTGTCTCAACACTTGTACCAGGAAATATGGCAAAGCGCATTAGTGTAAATCTTCATTTGAAAAGTTAAAGCACAAAGAAAAGGAACAGAAGCAGTGAAATTTCAATATGTTTGGTCTACATTTATTGAATGCATCATCATCGAAACATATATGCCACCAGTGCTATTTTTCCACACTCAAAGGGTACTGCAACCTACCATGAACACCTCCCTTGCTCTCTTACAATGGTGTCCACCTGAGAGGTGTCAGAACTGAGTTCCAGTGAGTTCCAGATGCAAAAAAGCCCTGCATGCAACTGACCTTCAACCAATGGCAATTCATCGAGAACTGTACTTGGAAAGAAAGATAGGTCTGCACAAACTCTGAATTGGACTCTGATAAGCTTCATATGCTAGAAATCCCTCATAACTACGTACCCTTGTTTCTCTTGTTGTTCGTTGTGTTTTTGTTTGAGCCTCTTGGGCTTGCTGATTGGAAGGTCAGTGGCTTGAACCCCTGTGATGGGGTGAGCTCCCATTGCTCTGTCCTAGCTCCTGCCAACCTAGCAGTTCGAAATCATGCCAGTGCAAATAGATAAATAGGTTCTGCTGTGGCTGGAAGGTAAACGGTGTTTCCGTGTGCTCTGGCACTCGTCACGGTCCTCCGTATGCCAGTCATGCTGACCACATGACCCGGAAAACTGTGGACCTACGCCGGCTCCCTTGGCCTGAAGGTGAGATGACATCCACAACCCCATAGTCACCTTCAACTGGACTTAGCCGTTCAGGGGTCCATTACCTTTTTTTACCTACCAATAAAAATATTGTTCAAAAATTATATCCTGTCTTTCTGCATACATAAAGATATGAGAATCATATAACACTGGCCCTAAAGGTGCCTCCCAGTACATTTCTGAGCACAATTCAAACTGTTGGTGCTGACCTTTAACAGACTTGGCCCTGTATAACTGAAGGAGCATCTTTCCCCCCGTCATCCAGCCTGGACACTGAGGTCCAGCACCGAAGGTCTTCTGGCTGCTCCTTCACTGTAAGTGAGGTTACAGCAAACCAGGCAGAAGGCCTTCATGAGAGTAGCACCTTCCCTGGGGAACTGCCTCCCATCAGATGTCTATGAGATTAAGAACCACAAAAGAAGACATCCTGTATCAGGAAGTTTTTAACACTTGACTTTTATTATATTTTTATATTCTGCTGGAAGCCACCCAGAGTTGCGGGGGAATCCTAGCCAGATGGGTGTGGTATAATTGTTGGCATTTCCACTCAGCCAAGCTGATAAGGCCTCATCTTCCTCTGAGCCGAGCCTATGAAATCGCCTCCAATGAATAATTAGCGACCTCGAGCCTCTGATAAGGCTCCAAGGCACACACGCTGGGGTCATAATGGCAGGGCAAAAAATGGGACCTGGCTGCTCTTCTTCTCCTCTCCTCTCCTCCCATAGGCATTTTTTTTTTTAAGCCTCCCATTGATATGATTGTAGAATCGGTGTGTTGGAAGAAGGGAATTTTTTTTGGATCAAGAAGATCCCAAGTCTCAGTGATAGATAGATATAGATGATATAGATAGATAAGAGATAGATATAGATAGAGATAGAGATATAGCTTGTTCCATCCCACCACCCCCTGACCTGTTCCTTTATATTCCTTTTACCTCAAAGGAAGGAAAGTGGCTAAAGTTCCTGCAGATAAAACAAGGAGTTCATGGAGAGGAAAGTCCACAAAAACCTATGGCTGTTGGATAACCTCACAAGGACCATAAAATTAGGCACTTTGCTGGGCACTGTGAGAACAGAATGCTGAACTAGATAGGCCTTTGGCTTGATCCAGCAGGGTTCTAATGACCTTCAAAATACTCTGCCAGGTCAGGCAAAGAACAGGGTCTGTTTTGTAGACAAGTGTACTGTGTTGTTGAAGGCAAACTCGGTGAGTGCCAACTTCTCCACCCAGTCATCTTGCTGTTAATTCATATAGCAGCGTAGGTACTGTTGTAAGGTGGCATTCATTCTCTCTGACTCTCCGTTTGTCTGTGGGTGCCTAGCCGATGAAAGACATACTTCTACCTTCAGTAGTTGCATCAGTTTCCTCCAGAACTGGGAGGTAAATTGCGTCCCCCTATCCGATATGATCCTTCACGGCAACCCATGCAGCTCGTACACATGCTCTACAAAGAGTTGCACCGTCCCCTGCATCAGAGGCAGTTTCTTGCAGGGCATGAAGTGCCCCATCTTAGAGAACACTACCCATATGACTGTCTGTTTCCATGACTCCGGTAGGTCGGTGATAAAGTCCATCAATATTGCTTCCCATGGCCCTTGGAAGGGTGGGAAGTGGTTGAAGCAACCCTGCTGGTGATTCCCGGGGCCTCTTGATTCACTGGCAAACTTCTCACGCCTTGACATATTCCTTGATTTCTTCCTGCATTCTTGGCCACCAAAATTCCTGACATATGTTAAATAAAGTCAAAATAAAATATTCTATGCAAGTTTTCTTAGGAATATAATCCTTTGGTATTTAGTCACAAGCAGTCATAAGCAGGAAAGCAAGAAAAAAGACATTTTCTTACACTTGTAGAATATTTCCATGCAGAGTAAAATCATCTGCGGTTGGGATGGAGTTCTGTTTCAACCTCGCATCAGATCGCTAGATCAATCCAAATGAGTTCAAAGAATTTCTTCAGCTTTGCAGTTTTTTTTGGAAAAGTAAACACTGTCAGCTGGAACTTTAGGCTTTTCTTTGCTGGGTTGAGTTGGAGCACTTACTCAATCTTGCCCCCCCCCGCTCCTTTCAAAGCAACTCAGGAGAGAGAGAGAGCGCTCACATTTCAGAGCCTAAAGAGATCCCTTTAGGTTTTTTAGGGGTGCATATAGCCTTAGTACTTCCCCTACCCCCTCGCAAAGACCGAACCTGTTGGAACAATCAGGCTTGCACTCCAACTGCCATTCCTATGGCACCCAGAAGTCCAGACCCATGGTTTCAAATTACAAGAAAGGAGATTCCAACTAAACATCTTTCTGACACTAGGAGCGGTTCAACAGTGGAACAGTCTCCCTCAGGAGGCTGTGGACTCCTTTAATGGAGCTTTTAAAGCAGAAGTTAGATGGCAATCTGTCATGGAGGCTTCAGTTTGAGATTTCTGCATTGCAGAGGATTGGACTAGATGAACCTCTGAGTCCCATCCAACTCTACAATCCTATGATTCAGTGATTCTAACCCTTAAGCATGTGGTAAAGCCACATGACAGGATGGAATCCACCCAGAAGTTCTGAAAGCTGGCTTCAGTTCTTCCCTCATGAAACACCCCCATGACTTTCTCTTTCAGAGTTAGGAACAAGGATGCATGGCACAGGTATCATATATACCACCAAGGTGCTATCCTTTTGTCAATAAATGATTAAAATATCAGTTCTCCTTGGTTGGATATGCAGGACAGATTGAAGCAACCACAACCACTTCCAGCCTTCCTTCATGCAAGACGTGGCAGGAGAGGTCCCCGGCTAGAGTCCTGGGGTGCTAGTCCTCAACACAGACCAAGCTATTCACACCTTGTAAAGGTGTGATTCTGAACAGCAGAATCTAATTGGTTACTTAACTCAGTTGACGGACACTTTGCATAGGAGCCAACTCCTAGGGGTAGAGGACCCAATAAAATATTTAAGGGGGCCACCTCCCCCAAGTTCATGGACATCGCCATTCAAATGGTGTGTGTGCACTGTCTTGTGATCGATTATGCAGGGTGGAGCTTCCTTGCTCCACCCCCAATATTTTATTCAAGTTGGCACCCCTGCCATATGAACGCCATGAAAAGAGCAGCACATGCTGCCAGTGCTGTGCCCACACGTGTGTGGGCCCCAGTCTTGCCCCCTGCCAAGTTCTGAAGAAACCGAGAGCAGTTCACTGTGTTTGTTGCCCAATGTTAACTCTACATGAGAATAAGGGCATCGGAATTTCCTAGTGGTGAAGCCAAAGTTGTATTTGTGATTAGTCTGCTAGAATGAGACACCAGGCGCTGGGTGGCCCCCATGCTCATTGCCTGGCATGCAGGGTTGTCCTTCTGTGCCTTGTAAGGTAGTGGTGATGGAGATCAGAAGGGGCAATGGGGCATCAAACACACAGAGTAAGGAGACAGATATTGGTATGCATTGCAAATAAATACAGAAAACAGAAAACAGAATATGATTGGACCCTTCCATTCTCTATTTTTGTAGCCATCTACATCTGAGCTTGCAGAATAAGGTCTTTTCAAGGTGTTTTTGAGGGCTGATGCCAAAGAGTCCCATAGCCTAGATGGCAGAGTGTGGATTGTGCATTAAACCTGTGGGGTGGGGTGATCTCTTGGTTTTGCTTTTATGAAGACATCATGGGATCCAGTTTCACTCATCTTAAGGTGTCTTCTTAGAGCCAAACATCATCAGGCACCTTCTTACAAATATATGGTATTTGTAGATGACATTCTAATGCTATCCAGCAACCTTTGTAGCAATCAAAGGTAACTGCAGCGCAGTCGTGGTGCCTTTCAGTATTTGGCTCGTAGAAATTCCAGTACCTGAAAAGAAAAGAAAGAGCAGCACTGATCAATCAAGATTGGAGGTCTGTTTCCTCACCTGCTCCCCGTGCCTTCTACCATTAAAAATATGTTTAGTTATTTCTGTCTTAACATCCATCCCGTTTATCGTCACATCTGATAAGGCCTTACATTCTCCAGTGTCCATTTTATATTCAATCAAGTTGAACTACACAGCAGACAAAAAATGTTGTAAATGTATTGTATAACTCATTTTTAGCTCTCCATGAATCTATTGATACTAGTAACAATGGTGAAATGGGTCTTTTTTACTTCCATGAGATGTTTGGGTTGCATCCAGAGGCAGAAAAATTTGAGTGGGGTGGGTGCAGCTTGCCCTGGGTGCCATCCCTGAGGGGGGGTGGCATTGCTGCGCTGCCCCCAACACTCGTCACAGGCTGCACCTGCAAGGAGGCTCATGGCAGCCGGTGCCCCCCCGGAGACATGCGCCCAGTCCCCTGGGACACTCGCCCCGCCCCCAGGTACACACCGCTCCAGATGCCGGAGCACCTAGCTCCACCTCTGCTTGGATCTGACCTTTGATCAAGTCTAAGTTCACATACAGCAGTGGTTCCCAATTGGTGGTCCACAAACCACCCACTCCATTATACCATTCACATAACAAAAACTGCCACAGAGATATTGAAATCTTCAAAGGAAGATGGTTTGGCTTTCGAAAAACAAGGGGTCTGCAGTACTTAGCTAACTGGGAACCACTGGCATACAGGGTTTAAGTTCCCAGCTAGTATTATACAACCCCACTGCCCGTTTGTAAAGTTTACTCAATACCTTTGCCCAAAAGGATTAGTGGTTGGTATTGGGTGCATCAACGGAGATGAATGTCATTGGATTTTGTTGCAGAAGACCTTGCAAAATTTAAAGCAGTCCTCTGTTAATCCAGTCTTGGTAATAAATGCCAGTCCAGTTCTCTGTCCTACTACCAAGTTGTGGATGAGTGAGATCTTACTCTGACCTTGTACATCCATCCACACAAGCTGAAAAGAGTTGTTAGATACTTAAAGGGAACCATGAACTGCCTTAAACTGCCAGCTGACAGCAAAAGCTATTAGGAATCTGTCAAGGATTCTTCAGTTGTGATTCCTGTTTTGCAGGAGGTTGGACTAGATGACCCTTGGGTGTCTCGCCCAATTCTAAATTTCTATGCGTCTATGATTCTATCCAAGAGAGTGACATGAACTACCCTCTCTTACACACTTACTTCATCTGCTGCTATCATTTTAGGTTAGAGATTGCTGGTTATTCAGATTGCTTAGCAGATAACTGTAGAAATACTTTCCTAAAGAGTGTTGCTCAGCTTTAGGTCCCTGCAAGTCCTTTTGAAGCTGAGCTAATCACCACAAACCATTTAAAAGGATGCCTTCATCCTCTTCCAAATCACCACATTCACTAGGTTAGAGAAGCCTTTCTGCCTCTCCAATCTAGTGAGAAGCAGCAGTCACTCACCTGGACAATAATGTGGAGGGGTATATATGTAGATCTTTGGTAGTAGAGAAAATTGCATGGCAAAATATATTTGGAGAGGGAAAGTATCAATTATGTAAACAGAATCTGCAAGTTTTGGGAATTTATGCCATTAACATATGTTACTTCAAAAACTTACTCGGTTTCAGGTAGCCTCCCTGACACCCATGTCCACTTCCCTTCCTTGTCTTTAAAGAGTCCAATCCAAAAAAACTTTCTACGATCTTTTACTTGCTGGTCTATAAAAAACTACGGTAGGCGTGGAGAGAAAGAAAAAACAGAAAATCTTCAGTAGGAATGAGGAGCAAGGCACTTCTCTCAAAGCCTTTCTTGATAATGTCCCTTTCTCGGGGAGACAATAGCCCTTTACAAACATTCAATTGGCATAAAACAAACACATTTCAAAAGGAGGAGGTGTCACCATTGAAGGTCCAATCCACATTGTTTTGGGAAGCAGTGATCAAAATAATACATACTATTCCATGTATGGTTGCATCAAGCACCAAGAATAATTGTGTGCTGAGGATATGATATTGTCCCCCTGATCCAAATTATGATGATGATGGGACTTCCGGGGTGGCGCCTCCGGAAAATGGCGGAATTCCCTTCGAACTGAAGGGAACCCGCTGCACGGAGGCTTGGGTCCTGCCGCTACGGCGCAGCGGGGACCCTTAAAAACCACAGGCGGAAGAAGCCTGTGGGCGTGGGACTCGGCGGGCACCGAGAGCGCTCTCTCCCTTGTACAGGAGCCCGGTAACGGGCACCGGAGGGGGAGGTGCGCGCTGCCGTGAGTCGACTGCTTCCTCCGTGCAGCAAAGCCGCACTGCCGCTTTCGGAGAGCGCTGCCTTTTTCCTGGACAATTTGGCATCTAAAACATCTATCCGTGAGTACCTGATCCTGGAAGAGCTGAACTACTTTTAAGATTGGTGAATAAATAAATAACATTGGACTTGAACTTGAAATTGAATTTAATTGGGACTCGGAACGGAAAGGTCTAAACAGGAAGTCGCCTTCCGTTCTTTTGTTACGTGAAGAAAGCAAAGACAAATTATACTAAAGCCTGAAAACTAAATTCTGAGAGAACTAAAATTCAACATCTAAGATTTCTGAACCCCCTTTGATTGCAGGAGAAGAAGGGGGTTGTTTTGATCTTTTCAACCCTGCGGAAGTGAGTTTAAAATAAAGTAATTTTCCACCGCCCTGAACCAGGAGCGGGCTGTCAGAACTGACGTTTTGAAGCTTATCCAGCTCGACAGATAGTTAAAAGAAGGGTAACATTTTGATTCTACTGTTGCCTCTTGAATTTGAAAGGGGGAATTTTGGATAAAGTGTTTCTGGAAAAAGAAAGATTGTTACTGTTGTTTTTCCCCTATTAAAAAAAAAAAAAAAAAAAAGGGTTTTCCATCTAGTGGAACTGAGTGAAATTGCAATGCAGAGAGTTTAAAAGAGAAGGACCATTCTCGTGGGAAAGAATTTTTTTGACCTTGAAGGACAATGCTTGTACAAAGGCTTGAACAAGTGTTCCTGGAAGGTTTTGCAAAATTAAGTGCCCAGCTGGACCAGATGCGTCAGGAGTCGACCTTGATGATGACGGAAGTCACCAGAGCACAGCAGCAAACAAATGAAATTCAGTTAAAGTCTATACAAGTATATGAACCTGCTGTAGCGACGGAGGCTTCAGAGATGGAGGGACCTATGGATGGGCAAGATCAGCCTTTGAACTTGATAAATGAACTTGGGACAAACCTGATTCGGAAAGATGAAATGTGGTCAGATTTGGAAATGGGGGATGGATTGACACCCTCTATATGGTTATTTGGACTTTCCGAGTCTAGGGATGGGCCATCAGAGGATTGGAGTAGTCGAAGTCTCCAAGTTTTCTGGAAATTGGAAGTGGTATTATCTGCTGTCTGGCTTGGGTAATGGGTTTGGGATGGACTTGCTGCAAAGAGTCAAAAGCATCTTCTTGCTGGAGTATCCACGACTGAAAGGGAAATATCAACAAGAGTGGCGAAAGGGGCAAGAAAGAGACTTGAGGGCCTCGGACACGAGACAACCAGGTTAAGGAGCCGGATTATTGAGGTTAAAAGGACTGACAATCCCGGGTCCAGGGGAGGGGAGGCTGGAAGTTGACTGGACTGAATCTGACTTATTATTTTTTATTTTTTAATATTGGGAATGTTTATAAATGTTTGAAGGATGTTGAATGAAATTATATGACTTAAGTAAGGATTGGTAAATGATTTGTAAAAAGGTAATGATGTAAGAATTTGCTAAATATGGAATATAAGCTTTGAGTTTTAAAGTTTTTATATGACAAGAGGGAAAATAGAACAAGGAAACGCAATGATAGATTGTTATGAAAAAACAGAAAGGATTTGCTGTAAAAATTAAATACTAAGAAACAAGAGAGGGGAGGAGGAGGAAGTCTAGAAAGGAAGTTAATGGAGATCGTAAAGGATTTTATATTTCTGTTTTTCTGTTTTTCTTTTTTTCTTTTTTGCGGCTGGGTTTTTTCTTCTTTATTATTTCTGTATTATTTTTGTTTTTTTTTTGTATTTTCAAACTTTTTTGGAAATTTTTGTTGTTACTTGTTACTTTTTGAAAATTTAATAAATATCAATTTAAAAAAACAAAAACAAATTATGATGATGATGGGTGATGATCATTGGAATCAAGGAAGAATCCCAATTAGGAAATATTGCAATGAAGGGTAACTTCATTTGCCCTCACCGAGACTGTTTACATATGTATTCCATTATGACACAGAGTTAAAATTCCCAGATACTATAAATGACTCTGCCATAGAACAGTTCATCTTGGAACCATCTATCGGGACAGTGACCTGTGTAGCAAATACTCCAATTTCTGTATCTATGCTTGTTTGTTGGTCCCAGAGACACTGCAATCAATCTGGTTGTGGTATGGTTGATGGGGTCTCACCCATGTCTGTGCCCTGCAGCACCCCAGTAGCTCCTCTGCCCGGGCTAAGGGGCTGGGAGAAGGATATACCTTGCAAGCTCCTATGATACTCTCATGCCAAAGGGTTAGGGTGGTGAGGGAAACCTTTTTTCTAAGCACTCAATACATCTCAAAGAGCAGAGGAAGAATCTACAGGAAATCCAAGGGATAGATTCCCCTCAAGTATCTCCTCCTCCTCCTCCTCCTCCTCCAAGACCTCCTTCATGACTGCCAGTTTCAGGCTATTCAAGTTCAGCGGCTTTAACAAACCTCATTGAGTCCCAGATGGTAGCAGCTGCTCCCTGACCCACCCACCCCTTGGCTTGACTGATGGAGCTGCTGTCTTGGCTGCATGCAGGTGGATAGGACCTTCTTAAATGGATAGTGATGATAAGAACCCTTTGACTCAAGGAGATACTCGGCTTTGATGCTCACCTGTTCTTCTTCTGTATCTGTATCTGCAGAAACAAGCTGGGCACCTTCCCTCTCACACTTGTCTTTGGAATCCACCCATGAGCGTAGCTCAGGAGAAAACAGATAGAACGAACTTGAAAATATAATCCAACCATCTTTCAAGTTTCTAGTAAGGATGTCTTTGAGTCAAGCCAGAGGAAGAAGAGAAAAAGAAAACAAGATAGGGAATTTAAGGGGAGCCACCTTGTACGTCTGTGCAGATTTCAATTATTTTTGTTAAGTTCATTTCTGTCACCACATGATAACATATATTCATCTAGGAAGCTCAGAAATCTTAAAACAAGAAAAACATTAACTCTTCAACCCATGTTGATGCTGTAGTAAATACCTGGGTGGGCATAGGTGGAACAGGGAGCACAGAAGAACCTCACCTACTTGTTTCCACCTGGATACTTAGGGCAGAATCAGGGCAGACTTGAAGGTTGGGAAGGGGGAGTACAGTGGTGCCCCGCAAGACGAATGCCTCGCAAGACGGAAAACTCGCTAGACGAAAGAGTTTTCCGTTTTGGAGGTGCTTCGTAAAACGAAGCTCCTATGGGCTTGCTTCGCAAGACGAAAATGTCTTGCGAGTTCCTGCGGTTTTTTTCCCCTTTCCCCCCCCCTTTTTCTAAGCCGTTAAGCCGCTTATCTGCTTATCCGATAAGCTGATAAGCCGCTAAAAGCCGCTAAAAGCCGCTAAAAGCCGCTAATAGCGCTAATAGCGCTAATCCGCTAATCCGTCAATGGGCTTGCTTCGCAAGACGAAAAAACCGCTAGACGAAGAGACTCACAGAACGGATTCTTTTCGTCTTGCGAGGCACCACTGTAGTTGTGGTTTATCAAAATTATCTTTCTCTCTCCAGGCCCTCTGTTGAGTTGTGGAGTGGGGAGGGGAATCTAGAATGTAGGTTCCTGGCATTGGGCAGCTGGGACAGATGAGGGATTCTGCTGCTTTACCACCCACTTTGCTGCCAAGCAGTCTCCCTGCCTGAGCTGACAGGATGAATCCAGTGGGCTTCCAAATGGCTCTGGGGGGTATTCCAGCTGATATGACAGGTGCTCCTGCTGAGGTTTAGCCAAGCTCTAGAACAACAACAACAACAACATAATACTTTACCTATATTCTCTTATTTATGTTTCCCCAAGCCACTCTGGGTGGCTTCCAACAAATTAAATCACAATTGTACACAATTGTATATAAATCATAAAATAATTCGTTGGATCGGTCAGGAAAACCACTTGCACTCTGGCCCCTGCCCCTTGTGGCTGATACAAACTAGCAGCGAGGGGAGAGCTTTTTTAAAGTCACTGTCTTTTTGATTCCTGAGTCTGCCAGTCACTTTTGCCTTTTCAGGATAGTCCAGCATAGTTTGTGATTCTTCCTTGCTCGGAATTGTTGCTTCTTTCCATCTTTAGGCTAGTGGCATCCTTGCAGCAGTTGTTGCATACATAAACAGTCCTTTCTGGTCTTCTGGAATATCAGAACCTGTGATTCCTAACAGATTCCTAGCAGAAATGCTTCTGGTTTTCTAACAAATGTAACTTTAAACATTTTTTCCAATTCATTATTTATTAATTCCCAGAAAGACTTTGTTATCTTGCATGACCACCACATATGATAAAAGCTACCCTCCTTCTCTTTACATTTCCAACAAATTTTAGAGGTTGTTCTATCCATTTTGGATAACTTAGTAGGAGTTGGATACCACCAATACATCATTTTCATTTAATTTTCTTACAGCGTACAACATGCTGTGAATTTCAAATCTGTTTTCCATAGCCTCTCCCAATCTGCTATTTGTATGTTATGTCCTAAGTCCTTTGCCCAGTTTATCATAACCAATTTAACCTGTTCGTCCTTTGTATGCCATTCTAGGAGCAGGTTATACATTTTGGAAAGATGTTTTAGTACTATTTTCCAAAAGTTCTTTTTGGAATCTTGATATCTCATGACTAAAAGCTCTCTTTGTGTCTATCTTGAAGATATCACTCAACTGAAAATACTGTAGCCAATCTGTTGCTAGTAGCCCATCTCTTATCTCTTAATTTTTTTTTTAATTTTAACCGATTTTCTACTTCAGTTAGCAGTATCTATACCTCTTATGTTCACTTTTCTCAAAGATATTGCTTCCAAAGGGAAAATCCACCAGGGGTCCCACCCCCTCAAATAGAGATTTTTATACTTTTTCCTATATGCTGAAAATCAATTTTCTTATTATATGATTCTGAAATGCTTTATGTACCTTTGCTTTTTCGTACCATATGTAAGCATGCCATCCAAATCTATTATCTAGAATAGATAATAAATCTACATCTAGAATGTGTGCACTTTTCAGCGTGATCCAGCATCCTGGAGCCAGCAGAAACAGGATGCTTCGTAATAGAATTTCAGATCCGGCAAGGAGAAATTACCTCTCTTTCTTCCATCTGTTAGTAATTTATATTTTATCCTTGGTTTCTTCCCCTGCCAGATAAACCTGGAAATGTCATTTTGCCATTGCTCAAAGCATCCAACACTGCCTATCACCGGGACTGATTGAAATAAGAACAACATTCTTGGCAGTATATAAATTAATATTCTTAGCTGTTAACAAAACTCCTAGATATTTTCCTTTTTTTATGTATAACAAAATCTGTTTTCTGTTGTAAATCTTTTTTCCCCTTCCTCCACCATGTTTTTAGCAATGAGCTTCAGCACTCCCAGAGGGTGAGGCACTGCCCTCACCACTTTGATGGCTATGTGTGTTGATGGGGGTGTGGTTTTGTGCCTAAGAGGGAGGGGTGTTATGTATTCAGTGGTCTGTGTTTGCCTGAGCTTGAGTCTGCACTAAGGATTGTGAACCCCTGGGTTCTGATTAGATACATGATATCCAATCACAGGACATTTCAGGATTTGGGCTATTGCGATTGGCCCTTAAACTCTCAGTTATGATTCTCAGCTTGGGAGTTTAGACAACCAATCATATTGAGAGTGACAGTGGTCCAGGACTTCAGAAATGTATATAAGCAGTTGCTTTGCCCCTGTTGTCCAGTTCTGTTAGTTCAATAAAAGGTTCTTGCTGTTATCACTGGGTCTTGCTTGGTGGGAACCCACCTAAAATTCATTACCTATTTAGGAATTGTTTCCAGTGAAGGAGAGCCCACCTTAGAGACCTGTGCAGATAAATGGAGGACCCTATCCTGACCTAGCTTTGGCGGTCTGAGTACTTGCTGTGGCAACAGATCAGGCCCGTGGGTAGAGAGAGGGTTGCTATTGTCCACAGGTATTCTAACCCACATGCCAATGAGCCAATTCACTATGTGAGGGGGCTTGAGGGCTCCTTTCTGATGATGGGCTTGTGAAACTGGGGAGAAATTTTGCTGTTGCACCAACCACCCCACTGCCCAGCAGTCTCTCTGAACAAGTTGGTGGAAGTTGCCTCGGGAGTGCTATTCAAGAATCCCTCTCCCATGGGTGAATATAATAAAGGACAGGTCTTTTAGCTGAGCTGTTTTGATTGTCTCTGCTACAGCAAAAATAACGAAGTCTTTTCTTTCCTCACCATAGAAGCTAAATCAATTCAGCAGATCAGGAGAGCTGAACTGAATATCTCTGATGTTTCCCTAGGGTGGCTGGGTGCAAAGGAGGGCAGCACTCTGCTCTGGCTCTAGGAGTATTCAGCTAGAGGAGGGACATTCAACTGGTGCAGACTCAGGGCAGGTTCTCACTGTGCTACAATTCTTCAGCATCATAGGGTAGCTTACCAATTTCCTTTTGCAGTTCATCATTCCTGTTTTCAAGATACCGCACTTTATCTGATAAGTTTTGAGCTGCAGCGAGTATTTGGAAGTCTAAAGGTGTGAAACAGTTTAAGGCAGGAGTATCTGAAATAACAATCTGTGAATATTAAGAAACCATTTTCAAACATTTTAAAACAATCTAGCCTCAAACAAGAAGCAGAGCTCCAGGATGGGGTTCTTATGAATATGAGGGCAGACTTGATTCTCCGTGGCTGAGATCACCAATGAAAAGCCTCAGAAGAATCCTGCAGCTGGATCAGACCAAACACCCATGCAATCCACTATCCTAATCACAGCTCCTGAGTCCTGCCACGCACCTCCTGGTCTAGGGCAGGGTCTGATAAGCTCTCTAAAGGACGGCTGCCTCTGCTGCTGCTGGGCAGAGAGGACTCCATTTTGTTTTTATGTTTAAACTGCTGTTATTTTTTACCTATGTCATTTTAAACTGTGATATTAATGCTATATTCTTAGTTTTAGAGTTTGATTTATGTGGAAATTGTTTCCCATTTGGTTGTGTATTTTTTATGTGGTTTATTTGTTTATGACTTTTTTAATTATGTAAATCTTGTTATGCTGTAAGCATTGAGCATTATGCTGCTTGAGAATTGTTTTTTAACTGTGGAAAGGCGGCATACAAATAAAAAATTATGATGAAGATGATATTGAAAGTGACTCATGAAGTATCTCTTATGTTCCCCTCCTATGTCCTCCTTTTCTGCTGGGAATCACAAAGTCACAAACAAATTTCCCACTGAGTCACACAGTAAAGCCAAATATACAAAGAATACTTTGCAGTTTTCAATTATGCTTCATGAGATACAAAAAATACAGGAACCCAAAGTGTTTCCCCACCCTGGAGTGCAGTTTTGGGGATGGCAGAAGAGAAGGGAGAAGTGGGGACACAGTTCCCTTGTGCCAGTGCTAAAATCTTGTAGTAGCACAAATATTGCACAAGCACAAACATTGTGAATTACAGTTTGATGGGGAAGGACAGCAATTCTAGTGGGGAGATGTGAGAATCACAACCGTCTGCTTTTCTTCCTGCTGAGCAATGAAAAAAAAGTGATGAGTTTCACTGAATATATGTATTGCTCACAAAATACGAATCCCAAATTGAACTACAGGAATTGCAGTCTCTATAAATTAAACATGTTCTAGCAAAAGTGAGGATGTGGAAATAAAATGCTTACCATCCTTGTCCAGATAGAATGGTTCAATTCCAACAACAAAGTTTCGAATCATATTCATTGCCTCCTGAATCTCCTCTCTCTTTTTCATTTCTTTCTGATCTAAGGAGGAGGTAGGTAGAAAAAAATATGAAGAAATTGTGTTCTAGCTTACTAGTCTGATGAGCTAGGGGAGGGGATATTTGGTTCCAAACTGCTTTTAATACTTTTTATATTTTCTGCTCCCAGCCCTTATATTGGTTTCCTATGCCTTGATTGTGGCTGCCCTGGCGCTCTGAAGTCCTGTTTCCATTTGACCTGTTCCTTCTGTCATCAGATGGTTGGCCTTCCTTTGAGAGCTTTAGATTTTTGGTTGTCTAGATGCACCTGTCCTCTTTGTCCTACACACTTGCATTTGCCAAGCTCCCTCATGCCCTGCCGTATGCTCAAAATATGTAAATTCTTGGATCATTTGGTTTCCTCCCCCCTGAGCTTTGCTTACTTTGGAGTGCCCTTTAAAAATGAATTAGCTATGCAAACAGGCCATTTCTTCATCTATCCAATGCTATTTTTCTAGAAAAACAGGCACTGGAACTCAGCATGAATGCCTCCCTTGTTCTCTTAGATTGGCAACGGAGCCCACCTGAGAGGGCCTGGAACTGAGTCCTGATGAATTTCGGCTGAAAAAAGCCTTGCATATATCTAGATATTTACGTAGGCTCTGGACCCACCCACTTTGGCCATGGCCTTTTCCTTTGCAGCCTGTTTCCCCCAAGCATTTTCCTTCAAGGGACTGGAGCCCTAGCAGAGGGCAGGGTGGAGAGGATCAGGAATGGGGGCTCTCCCCCAGCAAATGAGGATTACTTGGGAAAGGAGCAGAGAATTGCAATTGGGAAAGGGAATTGTCCAGGGTGTTCCAGGGACTTGTGTTAGCCTATGCTTCTGTTCGAAGTGCTGGAACTCACTTATTCAGGGAGAACAAAACAGTGACATTGCTTTCAATGGGTGACAGCTGTAACTCCCTCCATGAAATCAAAGAGGGATCAAAGGGATAAATGGAAGGTGGATCCTGCCATCTCTTTTTGGAAATGCTGTTGGCATTGAAGGAACGCCCGTGACATTAGTTGCAAAGTATGCTAATTATATACTTACATAGAAGGAAAATCAGCAGTGTCATGGCAGTGAGGATGAAAATCTCAAGTACAACAAATCTTTCACCCGTTGGAGATGTGATGAAAGCAACCACGTTCTGAAAACCAGATGCTTGAAGAAAGAAAATTCTGCTTTAACCATCAGTAACCAACATACCATTCCCAGCCCAGGAAAAGGGGTTCCATATGCTGTGGCAGCCATCAGCCAGAGACAGTCCATGGTTCATGGGGTGGTAATCTGGGTGGGTAAGCAGGTGGAGGAAGCAAAGCGAGAAGCCTTGCTGCTTGAGGAAACTTTTCTGACCAATGTCTGGATCAGAAAACAGTAGTGTCTGATACTAAATGACTTTCTGCTCCCCAAACAAATGACAAGATGCTCCCCCTGTACACATAATGCCACATACAGAAGTTGAGCTGGACTGACCATTGGCTCTTATTTTGATACTGCTGATGGGACAGCAGAGTAACTGAGGAGGTGCAGAGCAGCTTGTGTGGTCTACCCATCTCTGCCCACCCCAGCACCTGCTACCTGCGACAATTGCCTCATTCTGCCTAATGGTAGAGCCATTCTGGACTCCATACAGTAAAGGAACACCACAGCCAGCAGCAAAGAGTGGGCTGAATCCTGGGGTTTCTATGGGGCTTCGTGGATCTCTGGCACCCAAAGAGCTGTGTGTGCTTTTCTCTGCACTCCTCCCTGGCACAATATGACTGGGTCCACTCCCTGCCTGTCTCTCCATCAACTTCCCTTTCCCATGCATTCCTCTACTTTATGAGAGACCTCGTCCAATATGACTGTGATACAGACTATCAGTTTCATTTGCTGCTGCTTCTGCTGAATCCTTTCTGGATGCTTCATTATTTATGGACTCTGCTCTCTTTGCAGGTCTTGGCTTCTCCATCCTCTTAGTTTTGTCTGTGAAACAGCAAGCCATTTTAACATGGAGAATAAGACTATGAACACATTTGTTGGAGTATAAGTCTCTTGTAAAGCATGAAAGTTCACAGAATTCACTTTTGTTGTCCTGCACTTAATCTCCCTATTACAGAAACATAATTTTTAAAGTAGATGCACATCTACAAATTTCAAGGATTTCTTGGAATAAAGTTGAAATGGTCAAAAACATCAGGCCAAAAATATGTCTCAATGAGGCATTTCCAACATTACACTTTGGAGTCTATCAGTATTAGACCATCCATGACTAATAATAGGACCCACAAAGGGGAGGAGGCAAGTCTTGATCCATTCTTATGTCTTGGTTAAGTATCTCCAGCACTCTTTTCCTATTCATAATAGTGCTGCATATGTGATTGTAAAATTTTAATTTGAAAAACTAAATAAATTTATAACTACCACCACCACCACTTTGGAGACCATGAGTTGGACCTGGAAAAGAAGTAGACGGAAGCTTTGCATTTCTTGTGCATTCCTCTACTTTATGAGAAACCTCAGCCCATATGACTGTGCTGTATACAGACCATCAGTTATGGTTGCAGGTTGTTCTGCCTTCGCTGGTGCTGTAGGCTTTGTGGGTTTTTTGGGCTTTGCAGGCTTTGCGGGTGCTGGCTTCCCCATCCTCTCAGTTTTGTCTGTGAAGCAACAATCTAGAATCAGATAAAAACAAATGGAGAATAAGACTATGAGCACATTAGGTAGAAAGCAGCCTCTATCAGTATTAGACCATCCTTTCCCATAAATACATTGTTGTGTCCAATATAACCGAAACGTCTTTCTCTTTTCCTTTCGTTGGATCAATCTCAGTTTTAAACCAAAAGAGATGTTCCATATGGATTCCAAGGCATTTTTAAAAATGGTTTAAGTAATATAGCACATTCTCATTTTGCATCCTATTCCTCTCTAAACTCCTGGACATCTAGTTTACAGGGCTCCAGTAAGATGTTCACCATTTAATAGATAGTGTGGGATCTATTAGGGAAGTTTTTAATGTGTGGTGTTTTATTTTGTTTATTTTGTTTTTAATCTGCTGGCATCCGCCCAGAAAGTTGCTGGGGAAACCCAGCCAGATGGGCGGGGTATAAATAGTAAATTGTTATCATTATCATTATCATTTGAGGTCTTCAGATGTTCCTGGGTGCCAATTCCCTCCGTCACAGGCATCATGGTCAATGGTTGGGGATGACAGAAGTTGTAGACCAATAACATGCTCCCCATCCTTGATGGAAGGTGTATGCATTTAATTATATAACTGCCTTCTGATCATCAGAAAAGATGGAGTACTAGATCTGGTCTCAGTTGGATGCATGTAAATCCAATTGAGTCTAACAAGACTTTGGAGAGCATGAGTTGGACCTGGAAAAGAAGTAGAGGGGAAGCTGTTACCCAGGCTCCCCAAGTGTGCCATTTTGTTTTCTTTTTGCAAAGACCCAGCCTGACATCTGATGCTGTGGCTAAAAGAAAGAAAGAAGGCGGCTGTTGTCTAATCCGGTTTCAAAGCCATCTGAACTAGCAGCCCTTGATATGCTTGTAAATGGGTTATCCGAAGCCTTATATTTTCTGGATCATGATCTGGATCTGGATAAATAAATTGGGCCCATGAATCAGAGCAGGGCACCTGTATTGCCAGGGAATAAAACAGAATGTGGTGCTCCTGGTTTGCAATGTAGCTGGAGCTTTAATATAAGGAACCTGGCTGTTGGAGAAGAAGCGAAAGCAACTTCATGGCTTGGCCAGCTATCAAACACTTGACTGCATAGGGGAAGGAAGGAGGAAGCAGTTGTCTGGGAACAAGGAAAGTAACCTTACTTTGACCGAACCACAGAGATAAAGAATGCAAATGAAGGCTCTCATGCCCACGTGCGTCGACTCCCAGGCCAGATCAATGGATGGGAATGGAATTACATCATGAATTACATCTGTCGCCAGCTTGTCAGGAGACCTACACTATGGACTATATAAGGGCCAGCAGCTGAAGGAGACAGGGAGATCTTGATACATTGTTCTATTCTCCATTCCAGAATGTGAAGAGAATGACCACCTGCCAGTCTGAAGTGTCCCAGATAATCCTTACAGATCTCCATTGGCTGGGGTGACTGAACCTATGCTATCTGTATAATGATTATTTTTGCCTAAGATATTTTGCTTATTGGTTATATTGCTAGCTTTGTACGTATTTCCAGTTGCTGTTGGCTTTATATTAGACTCTATTCTACGTTGCTGATTAATTTCTTTGCTAATGTTAACCAATTATTAAAAGTTTGTCTCTACCTAAGAGTCTGTCAATTCTCTGTCCAGGGGAATCCAAAGAACCTCTTGCTTGCCTGGTGGTTGCTATGGGCCAAACAGCCATTATGGGGCACTGGCAAGACAGCACCTGTGCACATCCTTATAATGTACCACCACCCAGTTTCATTGGATGACCCTAAGTTCTAGTATTTAAAAGAGAAAAACCATCTGTAGTTTATAAAAGCTCCTTATCATTTAGCCTCTTAGTGACCTTTTGGCCCTGGAATAAATCCCTGCAATTATCATAGCTTGTAAGGAAAGTGTTACACCCCTCAGACCTCTTTCTGTTTGGATACCTTGGTGTTGTCATGGAACAATCTTTTCTCTAATTTCATCCTCCCACTGGCTAAGAACCACCTCCCTTGTGATGTCAGGCGTTCCAAAACTCCTCCCATTTATGGGACTTCCGGGTCGGCGCCATCTATAATGGCGGATTCCCTCTGAGTCTCTGAGGGACTAGCTCCGCGGGATCGGGTCCTACCGCTGCGGCGAAGCGGGGGCCCTTTAAAAATCACAGGCGGGTGAAGCCTGTGAACGTGGGGACTCGGCGGGCACCTTTTGCGCCCCCCCCAAGTCGTGAAAGGACCCTTTTTAAAGGTTCGGGAGCGAGACGGGGTGAGTGGCGCAGTGCTGAGAGTCGACTGCTTCTTCCGCGGAGTGAAGCTGCATAGCCGTTATCGGAGAGCGCTGACTTTTTCCTGGGACAATTCGACGTTGAAAGCAACTACCCATGAGTAGGATTAAATTGGATTTAAAGGAAATAATAAGCTAATTCGGCACCGAAGCGGGAAGGTACAAACAGGAAGTCTGCCTTCCTTTCTTGTAGATAGATCAAAGCAAAGAGACTGTAAGCGGAAACTGGGAAAGACGTTTGAAAAAGACTGAAATCGCAACATCAGAAAAACGATCTCCCCTCCGGATTGCAGGAGAGGAGGGGGGAAAGGTTTGAGCTGTACTAATCTGCAAAAAAATAAGGGAAAAGGAAGTTAAAATCCACCGTCTAAAACCTGGGAACGGACTGCCCTGAGATGAATGCCGCTCTGTGAAAAGCCTATCTGTAAGCAGAGGACTTTTGACAGCTAACTCTGCTAAAGAGATACAGTGTTTCTGGACTTCTCCTGGTTCTAAAGTAACTGTTTAAGTGCAACTGAAACTGTTGTTTTTAGGTGAATTGGGGGACTTATAAGGACCATTTTTGTTTCTAAAAGTTGCAAGCTTTGGCTGTTACTGTGTCCCCCTAGAGGAGGTTCGACATTGCTACAATAACAACTGGGTTAGAGGAAAATTCCATTCCAAAACAAACTTTCAACTGTGGGATCGACCTTGAATTCTCATGAGAGTGCTATGGCAGATGGGAGAGGAAAGTTAGAGCTGGCGCAGGAAAAAACTACTAGGTCTGGCAGACCCTATTGGACAGACACTGCACAGCAGCGAAGGGCTTCAACATCTGGAGCATCTGGAACATCAGGGGCTGCTCCTCCACAGGTCAAACCAAAAGTAATGTCGTCCGAAGACGTTTTGGCACATGCACTTGGAAAAATTAATGAATCTTTGGAAAATTTAGCTAAGCAGGTAGCTGAGACAAATAAACAAGTAGCTGAAGCATCAGTTAAAATTGACCTGAATACAACAAGCATTAATAATTTGGGACAGAAGGTGAATACCAATACAGAGTCTATTGAAAAATTATTACAGGAATCTGCTTCGACCCGAAAGATAGCTGAAGAAGCAAAAGATATAGCAACTGCTACTCAAGAGAAGATACCACTGGTATACAAGCAATTGGAGGACCACGGTTTGACACTGTCTATGATTGAATTGAAAGAGAAACAAAGGAATCTAAGAATCAGGGCTGTACCAGAACGTGAGAAAGATAATTTGGCTGAATTTCTTACACAGGAATTTACAGATTTTTGGCAACAGGATTTGGGGAAGGAAGAATTTAAGATAGTGAATGCATTTAGACTTGGAAGAGGACAAAGGAGGAACAAGGTGAGGGACTGCTTGATTACTCTTTGAACAAAAGAGGAGAGAGACAAAATTTTGAATCTGCACTATCAAAAGACTTTGGAAATTTACGACTCAAGTGTGGAGATATTTAAGGATATTCCAAAACATCTTTTGGACTTAAGGCTTAACTACGGAGACCTAGTTGCCCTGTTGAGAAGAAATAGAATTATCTTTAGGTGGGAATTTCCTCAAGGCCTATCCTTTAAATACAAAGGAAGAAAGATAAAAATAAGATCAGTCAACGATAAAGATAGGTTTTTGAAAGATTACGAAGAAGATCTACAGAAAGAAGCGGAATCCGGAGAAGAGCCAAAAGCACTGGAAAAAGGAATACTAGACATAGCAAACTTATCTTTTGGATTGCACGGTCCAGAGAAAGAGACACCATCGACAGAACAAGAACAGACACTTGGCGCAGTTGGAGGCAAAGTGAAGTAACCCCATCATGGCTCTGCAACTGTTAAGTTGGAATTGTAATGGTTTGAACTCTCCTCAAAAGAGAAAAAGTGTTTTTCATTTACTAAAAAAGGAACAATTGGACTTGATTTGATAACAAGAAACACATGTAACAAGGCTACACAGGAAACTACTGATTAATAAAAGATTGGGACAGGAGTTTATCTCATCTGACAAAGTTAAAAAAAGAGGAGTTGTGATATATGGAAAGGAGAGATTATTACCGAAATTAATTTTTAAAGATGAACAAGGAAGATTTTTGGCAATCGAAATTCAAGTTCAAGGAGAGAAATTTTTGATCGTAGGAATTTATGCACCGAATGAGGGGAAATCTGAATTCTTTAAAAAGTTGCATGAGATCTTATTGGACTATTTGGATTACAATCTGATTTTGATGGGGGACATGAATGGAGTAGTATCTACAAACATGGACAAGGCACAAAGACAGGTAGTTACCAAGGATGGTAGACTACCGAAAACATTTTTTGAGATGACAGACAATAGGGATTTAGTGGACATTTGGAGAGTAAAGAACCCATTGGGAAGAGAGGGAACCTTCTTCTCTGAAGCCAAGATGACATGGACTAGAATTGACCAAATATGGGTAACTAGAGGAATGGCACCAAAGATAAAGAAAGTGGAAATCTGCCCAAAAACTTGCTCCGACCATAACGCTGTAAGGATGGAGATGAAACAAATATCAACTGGCTCCTTCAGATGGAGGATGAATGACACCTTATTTAGAGATGAAGAAGTGTATAAAAAGGCCCAAAAAACTTTGAGAGACTATTTTGAAATAAATATGAACACCAATGTAGAAAAAAGAGTAATCTGGGATGCAAGCAAAGCTGTCATGAGAGGGTTTCTGATACAACAGAATGCAATAAAGAAGAGAAGTCAAAATGAGAAGAAAGATAAAATTTTGGAGAAAATAAAAGAAAGTGAGAAGAAACTGAGAGCAAAACCAAAGTCGCAGGAGATTTTGAGAGAAATAAAATTATACCAAGTACAATATATGGAAATGATGAATCAGGAAATAGAATGGAAAATTAAACAAATGAGACAAAAAACATTTGAATCAGCTAACAAATGTGGGAAATTGTTGGCCTGGCAAATGAAAAAAAGACAAAAATTAAATACTATTACAAACTTAGAAGTGGAAGGAAAGAATATACATAACCCAATCGAGATTAAAAACTGTTTCCAGAGGCATTTTAACCAATTATACACACAAGGGCCACAGAAAGAAATGGATATAGACCGATTTTTGAAGACAAATGGATTACAAAAAATCTCCCAAGAAAGCAAACTAATGTTGAACTATAAAATATCTGAACAGGAAGTAGAAGGTGCCATTCAAAATATGCAATTGGGCAAATCTCCAGGACCGGATGGGCTGACTTCTAGATATTATAGATCTTTGAAAGAGTGGCTATTACAACCTTTGAAGGAAGTCTGCAATGAAATATTGGAAGGGAAAAGGGCACCAGAGTCGTGGAAAGAGGCGTACATTACACTTATACTGAAAACAGAGACTGAAAAGACTCAGCTTAAGAACTACCGCCCTATATCGTTACTTAATGTGGATTACAAAATTTTTGCAGACATTTTGGCCAAGAGATTGAAAAAAGTATTGATGGAAGAGATTCATAAAGATCAAGCGGGCTTTCTCCCGGGAAGACACTTGTCTGATAATTTGAGGAATATAATTGATATTTTGGAAAAATTAGAAGTGAATATAAATACTAAAGCAGTTCTGATATTTGTGGACGCGGAGAAAGCCTTTGACAACATCTCTTGGAGTTTTATGAAGAAGAACCTACAGGGTATGGGGGTAGGCCAAGGTTTTGAAAATGGTATAGATGCAATATACTCTGAACAAAAGGCTAAATTAATTGTAAATAATCTGGTGATGGAAGAATTTAAGATAGAAAAAGGGACACGACAGGGGTGCCCAATCTCCCCACTGCTTTTTATATCGGTCCTGGAGGTTTTGCTGAATATGATTAGAAGGGACCGGTTGGTTAAAGGTATACAGGTCGGAGCCAAACAGTACAAACTGAGAGCATTTGCAGATGACTTAGTATTGACGTTACAGGAGCCAGAATCTAGTACTAAAAGGGTTTTAGAACTAATTCAAGAATTTGGTCAAGTGGCAGGATTTAAACTGAACAAGTTAAAAACTAAGGTTTTAGAGAAAAATTTAACACCGATTGAAAGAGAGAGGTTTCAGAATGAGACAGGTTTGACTCTGGTTAAGAAAGTGAAATACCTGGGGATTAATATGACAGCCAAAAATGGGAACTTATTTAAAGATAATTATGAAAAATGTTGGACGGAAGTGAAAAAGATTTAGAAATTTGGTCAAATTTGAAGCTTTCACTGTTGGGTCGTATTGCTGTGATAAAAATGAATGTATTGCCTAGAATGCTGTTTTTGTTTCAAACATTGCAAATTGTGGACAAGATGGATTGTTTCAAGAAGTGGCAGAGAGATATTTCTAGATTTGTCTGGCAGGGCAAGAAGCCCAGAATAAAATTTAAGATATTAACTGATGCAAAGGAAAGGGGTGGATTTGCCCTGCCAGACTTTAAACTTTACTATGAATCAGCAGCTTTTTGCTGGTTGAAAGAATGGCTACTTCTTGAAAACACAGACATTTTGGACTTAGAAGGTTTTAACAATGTATTTGGATGGCATGCATATCTGTGGTATGACAAGGTCAAAGCACATAAAGCATTTAAAAACCATACTGTCAGGAAAGCATTGTTTAATGTTTGGATAAGATACAAGGATTTATTGGAAAACAAAACCCCAAGGTGGCCGTCACCGATGGAAGCGAAAGCTCTGAAAAGGCTCAATATGGAGGCCAATTGGCTGAAATATTGGGAAATTTTGGAACAAGATGGAGATAGACTGAAACTGCAGAGTTTTGAGAAACTAAAAATAAAGTGCGAGACTGGCTTCATTATTATCAGATAATGGAGGCATATAATTTGGACAAGAAAATTGGCTTCCAGGTGGAAAAATCAAAATTAGAAACAGAACTGTTAGAACCCAAAACTAAGATTTTGTCAAAGATGTATAACTTGCTGTTGAAATGGAATACTCAGGATGAAACGGTGAAATCTGCTATGATTAAATGGGCACAAGATTTTGGACATAACATTATGTTTGCTGACTGGGAACAGTTGTGGACCACAGGTATGAAGTTTACAGCATGTAATGCTTTAAGAGAGAATATTATGAAAATGATATACAGGTGGTACATGACCCCAGTCAAGCTTGCAAAAATTTATCATTTGCCCGATAACAAATGTTGGAAATGTAAAGAAACTGAAGGTACATTCTTTCACCTTTGGTGGACGTGCCCAAGGATTAAGGCTTTCTGGGAAATGATTTATAATGAACTGAAAAAGGTATTTAAATATACCTTCTTGAAGAAACCAGAGGCCTTTTTCCTGGGCATAGTCGGCCCACCAAACGTTAGGTGGCCCCCATGCTCATTGCCTGGCATGCAGGGTTGTCCTTATGTGCCTTGTAAGGTATTGGCGATGGAAATCAGAAGGGGCAATGGGGCATCAAACACACAGAGTAAGGAAACAAATATTGGTATGCATTGCAAATAAATGCATTAAACAGAAAACAGGCTATGACTGGACCCTTCCATTCTCTATTTTTGTAGCCATCTATGTCTGATCTTGCAGAATAAGGTCTTTTCAAGGTGTTTTTGAGGGCTGATGCCAAAGAGTCCCATAATCTAGATGGCAGAGTGTGGATTGTGCATTAAAACATTGGGGTGGAAGTGATCTCTTGGTTTTGCTTTTGTGTAGAGATCATGGGATCCAGTTTCGTTCATCTTAAGGTGTCTTCTTAGAGCCAAGCATCATCTGGCACCTTCTTACAAATATACGGCATTTGTAGATGACATTCTAATGCCATCCAGCAACCATCAATGCAATCAAAGGTCATTGCAGTGCAGTCATGGTTCAATTCATAATGTGGCGAATATAAATTCCAGTAACTGAAAAGAAAAGAAACAGCAGCACTGACAAATCAAGATTGGATGTTTACTTCCTCACCCACTCCCCGTGCCTTCTACCATTAAAAAAATGTTCATCTCTTTCTCTCTTAACATCTACCCATAATTGTGATGGATTTTTCTCCCCAATTCTAAACATGTAAAAGAAGAAGAAGGAGAAGAACTGTGGGTCAAGACTGTCTTTCTTCTTCTTATATGAAATAATTTCTCTTAGGAAACTACAAAAAAAATAAAAAAAATAATGAGGTCTCCCTTTGGAAGGCTCTGTTACACACAAGAACTTGCATTCAATTTATTTAACAATTTTGGGCCGTATCCAGTGCAGTACTTCTGCTATTGCCAGGATTTCCATTTCTGCAACAGAACTGCCCCTCTCTCCTCTCCATATGCACCCACATCCTCCTCAGATCTGCTTTTTATCATTGTGGGTTTTGGAGAGAGGGTTTTGGAAGAGAGATCCTTACTCTCTCATAGCAGAGTTAGCCCAGTAGTGATTGTTCTGAGCATGTTAAAACCTTGTTAGATTTGCATCCGCCTTCATCCACCTCATCTCACATCCATCACCCACCCCATGCATGAGAATAGCAATGACAGAAACAAAAATAGCTAAGTCTACAACTGAAATACAAAATATAATCTATAACCACAAAGCCATTATAGGGTTGATTGAAATGGTATGATAACTCTCTCATATATATCTTATCAAAATCTAACATGAAGGTTCTAAGTTTTTTCTAATCAATTATCCATACAGTTGTACCTCGGGTTACAAACACCTCTGGTTACAAGCACTTCGGGTTACAGTACACTACACTACACTACACTACACTACACTACACAGAAACAAAAATAGCTAAGTCTACAACTGAAATACAAAATATAATCTATAACCACAAAGCCATTATGGAGTTGATTGATTGAAATGATATGATATCTCTCACATATATCTTATCTAAATCTTACGTGCTGGTTCTATGTTTAATCAATTATCCATAGTTGATAAAAATATCACGCTAGCCCCCACTTATTATCACTTCTAGTAAAGCCTTGCATTCTCCAGTGTCCATTGTATACTGAATCAAGTCCCACCACACAGATCTAAAATTCTGTTGTAAATGTATTCTATAAGTCCCTCATTTTTAGCTCTCCAGGAACCTTTTAAATTGTTGTTAATAATAATGGTTTAATAGGTTTTTTAAAAACTCCCATGACATGTTTGGGTTGGATCTGACCTTTGATCAATTCTAAGATCACATATAGCATTGGTCCCCAATTGGTGGACTCCATGATGCCATTCACATAACAAAAACTGCTGCAGAGATATCAAAATGTTCAAAGGTAAGGTGGCCCATGGTTTGGCTTTTGAAAAACAAGGGGTCTGCAGTACTTAGCTAACTGGGAACCACTGGCATACAGGGTTTAAGTTCCCAGCAAGTATTATACAAGCTCCCTGCCCATTTGTAAAGTTTACGTCAGTGTTTGAAAAAGAAAAGGTTCTGACTTCCTTTGACTCCTTCACCTGGTCCTCAGACCCTTGTTGGCACAAAAGAGTATATTTGCAGAATTCTGCTTTTATTCTTAAAAAAAGTCTTCTCCAACAACGACCGAAATCTTTTATACACACCAAACTCAGCCAACTTTCTACCATCCAACCAATCCACATACAATCAATGACCACTCCATATGTACAGGCATATGTAGGTGAAAGGTTGCATGAGTCATGCAGGCTTTGCCGATTCATTGTAGGCTTCTGACTCATGCCGACTCAGTTCCTTTTGTATTAAAGAAACAGCGGCAAATTTTAGGCCATGACAGTTTACTCAATACCTTTGCCAAAAAGGATTAGTGGTTGGTATTGGGCGCATCAATGGAGATGAATGTCATTGGATTTTGTTCCAGGAGAACTTGTAAAATTTAAAGCAGCCCTCTGTTAATCCAGTCTTGGTAACAAATACCAGACCAGTTCACTGTTCTAATACCAAGCTGTGGATGCGTGGGAATTTACTCTGACCTTGTACATCCATCAACACAGCTTGAAAAGAATTGTTAGATACTTAAAGGGAACCATGAACTGTCTTAAACTGCCAGCTGACAGCAAAAACTATTAGGAATCTGCCAGGGCTTCTTCAGTTGTGATTCCACCTTTGTAGGGGTTGGAATAGATGACCATCGGTGTCTCATCCAACTCTAAATTTCTATGTGTCTATGATTATATACAAGAGAGTGAGATTCATCTACCCTATCTTACACACTTACTTCATCTGCTCTTATTATTTTAGGTTTGAGATTGCTGGTTATTCAGATTGTCTAGCAGATAACTGTAGAAATACTTTCCTAAAGAGAGGGTAGCTCAGCTTTAGGTTCTTGTTAGTCCTTTTGAAGCTGAGCTGATCAGCACAAACCATTTATAAGGATGCCTTCAGCCTCTTCCGAATCACCACATTCATTAGGTTAGAGAAGCAGAAAGAGTAGCCTTCCTGCATCTCCAAACTAGTGAGAAGCAGCAGTCACTCACCTGGACAGTGACGTGGAGGAGTACATATGTAGGTCTTTGGTAGTAGAGAAAATTACATGACAAAATATATTTGGAGAGGGAAAGGATCAATTATGTAAACAGAATCTGCAAGTTTTGGGAATTTATGCCATTAACAAATGTTGCTTCAAAAACTTACTGGAATTCAGGTAGTTTCCCTGATAGCCATTTCCAAACCGCTTCCTTGTCTTTAAAGAGTCCAGTCCAAAAAAACTTTCTACGAATTTTTACTTGATGGTTTATAAAAAACTAGAGTAGGAGTGGAAAGAAAAAAACAGAAAATCATCCCTATGAATGAGGAGCATCCCCAGACAATGTCCCTTTCTCTGGGAGACTATAGTCCTTTGCAGACATTGAACAGGCATAAAACAAACACATTTCAAAAGGAGCAGGTGTCACCACTGAAGGTCCAATCCATATTTTTGAGGGGAAACAGTGATCAAAATTATACATAATATTCCAAGTATGGTATATGCACTATTGTCCCCCTGATCCAAATTATGATGATGATGATGGATGATGGAATCAATGAAGTATCCCAAAGAGGAAATATTGTAGTGAAGAGGAACTTCACCTGCCCTCACCGAGACTGGCTACATATGTGTTTCAGTCATGACACAGAGTTAAAATTTCCAGATACTATAAATGACTTTGCCATAGAACAGTTGGACATTGACCTGTATAGCAAATACTTCAATTTCTGTATCCATGCTTGTTTGCTGGTTCCAGAGCTACTGGAATCAGTCTGGTTGTGGTATGCTTGATGGGTTGATGATGGGGTCTCACCTATGTCTGTGCCCTACAGCACCCTAGTAGCCTCTTCCTGGGCTAAGGGGCTGGGAGAGGGATATACCTTGCAAGCTCCTCTAGAGTCATCTCCATGATACTCTCATGCCAGAGGGCTAGGGTGGTGAGGGAAGCCTTTTTTCTAAGCACTCAGTACATCTCAAAGAGCAGAGGAAGAATCTACACGATTTCCCTCAAGTATCTACTCCTCCTTCAAGACCTCCTTCCTGACTACCAGCTTCATTCTATTAGAGTTCAGCAGCACCAAGAAACCTTAGTTAGCCCCAGATGGTAGCAGCTGGTCCCTGCCCCACCCACCTCTTGGCTTGACTGATGGAGTTGCTGTCCTGGCTGCATATAGGTGTATTGGAACTTCTTAATTGGATAGTGATGATAGGATCCCTTTGACTCAAGGAGATCCCCTACCTTTTTCAATACTTGGCTTTGATGCTCACCTGTTCTTCCTCTGTTTCTATAGAAATGAGCTTGGCGCCTTCCCTCTCACACTTTTTTTGGGAATCCATCCATGAGCGTAGCTCAGCAGAAAACAGATAGAACGAATTTGAAAATATAATCCAGCCATCTTTCAAGTTTCTAGTAAGGATGTCTTTCAGTCAAGCCAGAGGAAGAAGAGAAAAAGAAAAAGAATTTAAGAGGAACAAACTTGTATGCCTGTGCAGATTTCAATTATTTTTGTTAAGTTCATTTCTGTGGCCACATGATAACATATATTCATCTAGGAAGCTCAAAAAGATTAAAAGAAGAGCAACATTAACTCTTCAACCACTTCATGATGCTACAGGAAATACCTGGGGGGGGGGCATAGCTGGAAAAGGGAGCACAGTGAAGAACCTTTTATTTGAGGGAATAGACAAAAGATGCATGTTCCTTCACAAGCCTTATCTGAACCCCAGGGGCCTTACCCACTTGTTTCCACCTGGATACTCAGGGCAGCATCAGGGCAGACTTGAAGGTTGGGAAGAGGGAGTAGCTGTGGTTTATCAAAATTCTCTTTCTCTCTCTAGGCTAACTGTCCAGTTGCGGAGGTGGGGAGAGGAATCTAGAGGAATTCCTGACATCCTTTTTATATTGATGTTAGAAATATTGTTGTCGGAAATAAGGAAAGACAAAGAGATCATAGGAATAACATTGGGAAAAGTGGTTTTTAAGATCAGGGCTTTTGTGGATGATATTTCGTTAAGAACAGAAGAACCAGAAGCAAGTATCACTGAAGCAATAAATATAATATATGACTTTGGCAAGGTGTGTGGCTTTAAAATGAATATGGAAAAGACAAAACTTAGGTAAAATATATGCAAGAACAAGAGTAAAAAGAACTTCAGGAAAAGGTTCGCTTACAGATTGTTAAGAAAGCAAAATATTTCGTTATAGATCTAACTATGAAGAATATTAATCTGTACAAAAATAATTATGAGAAAGTTTGGAAAGGAATAAGGAAAGGTTTTGAAACCTGGAGTAGATTAATGTTATTAATATGGGGAAGAGTCTCCATAATTAAAATGAATGTCCTGCTGAAAATGAAATATTTATTCCAAACAATACCAATTATAAATAAAGAGAATTGCTTTGAAGAATGGAGGGAAGATATAATGAGATTCGTATGGCAAGGAAAAACCCACGGATAAAATATAAATTATTGACAGAAAGAAAGGAAAGGGGAAGATTAGCATTGCCAAATCTAAAATGATATTATGAAGCAGAATGTTTAATATGGGTAAGACATTGGATTAGATTGGAAAAAATTAATATATTGGATCTTGAAAGCTTTAATAATAGACACAGATGGCATGTGTATTAAGAGAAAGTAAAATGCAATAAAGAATTCACAAGTCATGTATTAAGAGGTGCATTATATAAAGTTTGGAACAAATATAAATTATATCTGGAACCACAGACACCTTGGTGGATATCACCGCTGGAGGCATATGCTATCAAAAAACTGAATATGGGGACAAATTGGCCAACATATAGACAATTATTGGAAGATGAACAAGGGAAACTCAGATTAAAATCCTATGAAGAGATACAGCAATATGAAGTTGACAGATGGCTTTATATACAACTTAGAAGTATATTCAACTCGGATCAAAAGAAAGGATTTGCAAAAGAGGATTTGAAATTTAACGTCACAGTGATACAGAATAACAAGAAATTGTTATCCAAAACATATAATCTTTCATTGGACTGGGAACTGATGGAGGAAGAAGTGAAAGAAACGATGATTAAATGTTCTCAGGATCTCGGACATACTATCTATCCAGAGCAATGGGAGAAACTCTGGCAAGAGGATATATGATTTACTGCCTCATATACAATTAAAGAAAATTTTGTAAAGATTTTCTATAGGTGGTACTTAAGGCCAGTTAAGTTGGCAAAGATATACTGTACTTTTCGCTCTATAAGACGCACTTTTCCTCTCCTAAAAAGTAAGGGGAAATGTGTGTGCATCTTATGGAGTGAATGCAGGTGGGAGGCACTGTAAGCGCTCCATTTAAAGAGCCGCGTGGAGCGTGCGTGTGGCTCTTGGGGGCTTTTCCCTGAGGAGGAAGAAGGGCTGCCCTTCTCCTCCTTGGGGAAAAGTCCCCAAGAGCCGCATATACGCTCCGTGCGCTCTTTAAAGGGAGTGTGGCTCTTGGGGGAGCCTTAGCCGCACACAGCCTCCCGGGCAGTGGATGAAGGCTCCCCTTGCCTGGGAGAGCCTGCGTGCTGCTAAAGAAGAAGCCAGGACAGAGAGTGGGATCCATCCCACTGGCTGTCTTGGCTTATGCCTCTCCCGGCCTGACAATGGCATACAGTTCACATCAACCAAGTTCCAGTTCCACGACCAACAACCTAATCCAGCATGTCACAGCAGCAGCGTTCCACACATCAATGGATGGATGGGCTTAGAAAATGGTGAGGACCACCATGGAATCCCTCACTCAGATTGCCCAGGGGGACTGGAACAAGTGCCTAGTGGATTTTCTGCTGCAGCAGCACATCAAACCCTGCATTGTCACAGGTTGAAGCCCAGCACAGCTCCTCATGAACCGGAAGCTGGCATTACTCCTGGATTGTTTGCACCCTAATCTGGCATCTGATCCACCTGTTGGCTGGGAGGCTCCAGCAGCCCCCAGGTCATTCACCTCTGATGACCCTGTCTACATCAAGAACTATGGGGATTGTCCTGCCTTGCTCTCCACCACTGTTACCAGGGCACTGGGCTAGGCTCCTACAAGGCTGCCACACCAGATGTTCAGGTCCACTGCCAGCATGTGGACCAAACACCCCACCGTCTGTTTGATGCCCCAGCTCTAGTCACTGCTACCACACCCAAGAACAGGGACAAGGTGAACGATCAGCCTGGCTCACAGACTGATGCACCCTATGAGAACCCAGTGGCCCAGGGTAGGGCTGAGGAATGGGGCCCCAACACTGCACCACCAGACAGCGCAGAGTCAATTACATCAGTGACACCCACGACAACAGCTGCAGCTTCATGGGCATCCCCAAGGACCCAAGGCAACGAGCTTCAGCACTCCCAGAGGGTGAGGCACTGCCCTCACCACTTTGATGACTATGTGTGTTGACGGGGATACAGTTTTGTGCCTAAGAGGGAGGGGTGTTATGTATTCAGTGGTCTATGTTTGCCTGAGCTTGAGTCTGGACTAAGGATTCTGAGCAGCTGTGTTCTGATTTGATACATGATATCCAATCACAGGACATTTCAGGATTTGGGCCATTGGCCCTTAAACTCTCAGTTATGATTCTCAGCTTGGGAGTTTAGACAGCCAATCATCTTGAGAGTGGGAGTGATCCAGGACTTCAGAAATGTCTGTAAGCATTTGCTTTGCCCCTGTTGTCCAGTTCTGTTAGTTCAATAAAGGTTCTTGCTGTTATCACTGGGTCTTGCTTGGTGGGAACCCACCTAAAATTCATTACCTATTTAGGAAGTGTTTCCAGTGAAGGAGAGCCCACCTTAGAGACCTGTGCAGATAAATGGAGGACCCTATTGTGACCTAGCTTTGTGGTCTGGGTACTTGCTGTGGCAACAGATCAGGCCTGTGGGTAGAGAGAGGATTGCTATTGTCCACAGGTATTCTAACCCACATGCCAATGAGCCAATTCACTATGTGAGTGGCCCTGAGGACTTCTTTCTGATGATGGGCTTGTGAAACAAAGAGAGATTTTGCTGTTGCACCAATCACCCCACTGCCCAAGTTGGTGGAAGTTGCCTCGGGAGTGCTATTCAAGAATCTCTCTCCCATGGGTGAATATAATAAAGGACAGGTCTTTTAGCTGACCTGTTTTGATTGTCTCTGTTACAGCAAAGAATGACGAAGTCTTTTCTTTCCTCACCATAGAAGCTAAATCAATTCAGCAGATCAGGAGAGCTGAACTGAATATCTCTGATGTTTCCCTAGGGTGGCCAGGTGCAAAGGAGGGCAGCACTCTGCTCTGGCTCTAAGAGTATTCAGCTAGAGGAGGGGCATTCAACTGGTGCAGACTCAGGGCAGGTTCCCACTGCGCTACAATTCTTCAGCATCATAGGGTAGCTTACCAATTTCCTTTTGCAGTTCATCATTTCTGTTTTCAAGAAACCGCACTTTATCTGATATGTTTTGAGCTGCAGCAAGTATTTGTAAGTCTAAAAGATATGAAACAGTTTAAAACAGGAGTATCTGAAATAACAATCTGCAAATATTAAGAAACCATTTCCAAACATTTTAAAACACTCTAGCGTGAAACACGAAGCAGACATCCAGGATGGGGTTCTTATGAATATGAGGACAGACTTGATTCTCTGTGGCTGAGATCACCAATGGAAAGCCTCAGAAGAATCCTGCAGCTGGATCAGACCAAAGACCCATGCAATCCACTCTCCTATTCTAAATTAAAACTGGCTCATGAAGTATCTCTAATGTTCCCTTCCTTTGTTCTCCTTTTCTGCTGGGAATCACAAGGTCACAAAACAATTCCCACCTTGAGTCCCACAGTAAAGCCAAGTATACACAGAATATTTTGCAGTTTTCAATTATGCTTTCTGAGATCTAAGAAAATAGAGGTGGACAAACTCTTTTATTAGTGGATATAGAGTTGCATTCCACATAGAGCTAAGGGGGTCATTATGTCAGTGCAAGGATTTCTCCTTGTGCAATGCAATCTTCAGCCCCTTTCCCTCTTTCCCCCATGTTTTCTGAAGTTTTCCCCACCCTGGAGAGCAGCTTTGGTGATGGCATGCAGGGAGAAGTGGGGCCAAAGTTCCCTTGTGCTAGTGCTAAAATTTTGCAGTAGCACAAACACTGTGAGTTACAGTGTGACGGGGGAGGACAGCATTTCTGGTGGGGGGATGTGAGAATCACAACCGTCTACTTTTCTTCCTGCTGAGAAATGAAAAAGTGATGAGTTTCACTGAATATATGTATTGCTCACACAATATAAATCCCAAATTGAACTACAGGAATTGAAGTCTGTATAAATTAAACATGTTCTAGCAAAAGTGAGGATGTGTAAATAAAATGCTTACCATCCTTGTCCTCATAGAATTTATCAGTCCCAACAACAAAGTTTCGAATCATGTTCATTGCCATTTGAATCTCCACTCTTTTTTTCATTTCCTTCTGATCTAAGGAGGAGGTAGGTAGAAAAGAAATGAAGAAATTGTGTTCTAACTTAGTAGTCTGATGAGCTGGGGGAGGGGATACTTGGTTTCAAACTGCTTTTAATATTTTTAATATTTTCTGCTCCCAGCCCTAGGGAGAAATGGAAAATTGACGTTTCCAATGCCTTGATTGTGGCTGCCCTGGTGCTCTGAAATCCTGTTTCCATTTGACCTGTTCCTTCTGTCATCAGATGGTTGGCCTTCCTTTGAAAGCTTTAGATTTTTGGTTGTCTAGATAGACCTGTCCTCTTTGTCCTACAGAATGGGATTTGCCAAGCTCCCTCATGCCCTGCCGTATGCTTAAAATATGTAAATTCTTGGATTATTTGGTTTCCTCCCCCGAAGCTTTGCTTACTTTGAGTGCCCTTTAAAAATGAATTAGCTATGAAAATAAGCCATTTGTTCATCTATCCAGTGCTATTTTTCTAGAAAAAGAGACACTGGAACTTAGCATGAATGCCTCCCTTGTTCTTTTAGATTAGCAACGGAGCCCATCTGAGAGGGGCCGGAACAGAGTCCTGATGAATTTCGGCTGAAAAAAGTCCTGCATATATTTCGATATTTAGGTAGGCTCTGGACCCACCCACTTTGGCCATGGCTTTATCCTCTGCAGCCTGTTTTCCCCAAGAACTTTCCTTCTTTGCACTGGAGTGTTACGATATAGAAGCAATGCAGCCACGAGCTGCTAGCTTGAAAACAGCACATGATGGAATGTTAGGACTGTTCCGTGGGAAACAGAGGGACAGTCAACTCACAGGGCAATGCACCGGAATTAGCTCAGAGTGTAATATGAGCTCTTCCTTTTGCTCTTATACAGGAAGTATTTTCTCTCTCGACTGCTGGAGTTTGAAGAGAGCAGTCATGTTTTTTGTAACGCTGCAAAGACAGAAACAAAGGTATGTAAATAAGTTTCTGTCTATCTCTTTCCCCTGCCCGGGGGGGCAGGAAAGAGGGGGGGTGTTCTTCTCACGCTGAGAAGGATCGCCTATCACGACCTAGCCTGTATCCTGCTGGGGAATGCAGACAGGGAGGTCAACAGGAGATCAAGCTGGGTGCCTGGGGAGTTGCCAGTTTCTCCTGATAAAGGCTTGATTTCCAACATCTGGTAGCAGAGGATGGTTGATGGATCGTACTTCATCCTCTGCAAGGAGATAAAGGAAGATATGGTAGCGTGCGGATGGAAGCTACAAAAGACGGCTGAGCTCTGAAGCAGACGTTTTTGCTGATAAGCCAGGAGCAACGGAACCCCTAAGGTATGCTGAATTATGGGCTAAAAGAGTGAACGCAAATTGATTCTTCTCTGGTTCACAAAAGCTGCTTTTTGGATAAAAAACCAGTACTGAGAGAGAGCCACATTCTTCACATTCCTGGGACTGATAAGGTTTGCTGCTCAAGCCTGGAATGTCCAGTTGCTAAGCAACGAAACGTCAGTAAAGTGGAAAGTTACTAGCCAACACGGAAGTGAGGCTGGCACAGTGAGAGGCTGGAAAAACACTGGGAAAACAGCGTTTGTTTTGTCTGCTATCTCACTGCTCTTGGAGGGACTTTCAAAACAGCCTGCGTTTAGCTGCCAAGTGCAACGCAGTGAACAGCCAATAGACTCTTGGAATTTTACAGGCTCGAGAGTGAGAGCTGAGACTTGGATTCAAAATGGATACCAAGAAGGGGGGAGGCTTACCTTACCCACCTCCACTGAATAATGACAATTATTCCTCATGGTCTGTAAAGATAAAAGCCCTGCTTCAGAATCAGAGGATTTTTGGGGTGATTGATAACCCCATCCCTGCTGCACCAACGCCAGGTTGGAATTCACAGAATGTGAGAGCCAGGACGGCCATAATTCTGTGTATCTCAGATGATCAACTGGTGCATATTCAGGATTTGGAATATGCGCGTGAGATTTGGCAAATGCTGCATAGAATACATCAAAGAGATGCTGGTTCTTCAGCGTTGCTGCATTTTGAAAAGCTGACCAATCTAAGGCTAGCGCCTGATGGAGATGTACAAGCGCATCTGACAGAGATGAAATTCTTACGCCAGCAGATGGCGCAACGCAATTTCCCTCTACAGGAAGAGATATTCTGCTTCATTATTATTAACAGCCTTAATCGGACTTATAAAACCGTTGCAAGTCAGCTGGGTTCTCTACCTGCCCGAGATCTTACAGTGGAAAGAATTTGTGCCGTGATTCTCAATGAGAGAGATCGCCTTGCTGCAATAGATGTCAAAGACAGGGGGAGAGAAGCTTGGAGTTCTGACACCCCCACTGCTGCTGCAAGTGAAGAACAGGCTGTTGCTTTGAACGTTGTCCGTTGTTACAATTGTGGACAGACTGGGCATCTTCAGCGGAATTGTAAGAAGCCACGTCAACAGAAAGGAGCTAAGGGGAGCTCTGCAAAGCCTGAGGTGTCAGGCAAAAGTCGTACCAAGTCCCAGGTGAAACCTGCAAAAGCATTGCTGTCAACAAAAGCCGAATTTTCAACGGAGAACACTTTTGTTCTTGACACGGGATGCACGCAACACATGACGTCGCGCCGAGGACTGTTTTCAACGTTTAAGAAGCAAAGCTTCACTGTGAAACAGGCCAATGGCCAGGAGCTGAAAGCGACCGGGTTTGGAACTGTGTATCTTGAGAGTCTGAACCTGACTATTAACAATGTGTATTTGGTTCCTGATTTAAAGTTCAATCTGCTAAGTGTTTCGCAGATCACAAAGAAAGGACTGATTTTGTCCTATGATAGAGAAAGCTGCAAAATCTTCAAAGATGGAGAACTGTATCTTTCTGCCAGAGAGAAAGATGGACTGTATTTGTTGACTTTTAATCAAAGTGATTGCATAAGTTGTAATGCATCTGAGTCTAACATGATTTCGCTTGCAGGTATGAAGAAAAACGTCCAGGAAACGACGCAAGTAACCAAAGCTTTTCAGCGAGTGTATGCTGATGTGATTGGTCCTCTAGCACCATCTAGAGGCAATGCAAGATATTATCTCGTGTGTGTTGATTATTTCTCTCATTATGTGTGGATATACATAATGCACAAACCACAAGAAGCCTTAGAAAGGTTTAAAGAGTTTTGTGACAAAGTTAAAAATGTTCATGATGCTAACATTGATTGTCTTTTCACAGATGAAAAGCCAGTTTTTCTTTTGCAGGATTTTCAGGATTTCCTGGATAAGAAAGGGATAAGGCACAAGACTGCTGTTTCAGCAGGTGCATGGAACAGAAGTGTCTGTGTGCAAGTGAACAAAGAATTGCAAAATGGCATGAAGGCACAATTGCTGAGTTCACATTTGCCACATGAGTATTGGGCGGAATCATTATTGAGTTATTGTTACTCTTGGTTGAGAAAGGTTTCAAAAAGTTTAGGAAGTTCTCCTTTTGAAAAGCTATTCCACAGAAAACCTTCTGTTGCCCATTTTAAGGTTTTTGGGTCTCATGTGAAATCTGATGCTCCAGGTGGAGTAAAGAATGCTAGAGGCATTTTTGTGGGTTATGAAAAGGGTCTCTACAGAGTAATTTTGTCTGAATCTGGTCAGGTGGTTCTCACAAAATTTCTAGAGAGTGCTCCTGAACAGGAGAGAGTAATTGTTCACACATTTCCCACTGAAGACAATTCAAATGATGATGATGATTTTACTGATTACAGTGATACTGAGAGTGACAGTGATAGCTCAAAGAGCTCAGTTGACACAGTCATTGAGAGGAAATCTCACACAAGAGACCTTCACAGGTGAAGGATGAACCACTGTTTACTATTGGAACTGGTTCTCCAAAGAGTCCTGAAACTGAACCAATGAGCAGAGAGGATCAGCACCTCATACGCAGGTCCGAGAGAGTTACAGAGGGTGTACCACCCAAGAGGTATTCAAAAGAGTTTGCTAACTCAGCTGTAGCATGTGTTACTATTGTTGACAACTCAAGACAGGTTAAAGGTGTGTCTAAGTCAGAGACAAAGACACAACAGGGAGTTGCTAAGCATAACACTACATTCCCTAGCCAAGGTAATGCAGATGCACTCATTCCTTGGAAGTCAGACAACCAGAGAGGTACACTGGGGAAACCAGTGGCGGGTAGTTCCAAGGGTGGAACTGAAACAACAGGGGAGTGTTATATATATATAACAACTGTTTGTTTTCTTCTCTGGATCAAGCTTTGCTCGCAGAGCACATTGATTCATATGGGGGAGTATGTTACGATATAGAAGCAATGCTGCCGCGAGCTGCTAGCTTGAAAACAGCACATGATGGAATGTTAGGACTGTTCCGTGGGAAACAGAGGGACAGTCAATTCACAGGGCAATGCACCGGAATTAGCTCAGAGTGTAATATGAGCTCTTCCTTTTGCTCTTATACAGGAAGTGTTTTCTCTCTCGACTGCTGGAGTTTGAAGAGAGCAGTCATGTTTTTTGTAACGCTGCAAAGACAGAAATAAAGGCATGTAAATACGTTTCTGTCTATCTCTTTCCCCTGCCCGGGGGGGGGGGCAGGAAAGAGGGGTGTGTTCTCACGCTGAGAAGGATCGCCTGTCGCGACCTAGCCTGTATCCTCCTGGGGAATGCAGACAGGGAGGTCAACAGGAGATCAAGCCGGGTGCCTGGAGAGTTGCCAGTTACTACTGATATAGGCTTGATTTCCGACATGGAGACCTAGTAGAGGGCAGGGTGGCGAGGACCAGGAATGGGGGCTCTCCCCAGCAAATGAGGATTAGTTGGGAAAGGTGCAAAGAATTGCAACTGGGAAAGGGAATTGTCCAGGGTGTCCCAGGGACTTGTGCAAGCCTGTTCTTCTGTTCCAAGTGCTGGAACTCACTTATTCAGGGAGAACAAAACAGTGACATTGCTCTCACTGGGTGACAGCTGTAACTCCCTCCATTATATCAAAGAGAGATGAAAGGGATAAATGGAAGGTGGATCCTGCCATCTCTTTTTGGAAATGCTGTTGGCATTGAAGGAAAGCCCGTGACATTAGTTGCAAAGTATGCTAATTATGTACTTACATAGAAGGAAAATCAGCAGTGTCATGGCACTAAGGATGCAAATCTCAAGTACGACAAATCTTTCACCCGTTGGAGATGTGATGAAAGCAACCATGCTCTGAAAACCAGATGCTTGAAGAAAGAAAATTCTACTTTAGCCATCAGGAGCCAACATACCATTCCCAACCCAGGAAAAGGGGTTTCCATATGCTGTGGTAGCCATCAGCCAGAGACAGTCAACTGTTCAAGGGGTGGTAATCTGGGTGGGTAAGCAGGTGGAGGAAGCAAGGGGGGATACCTTGCTGCTTGAGAAAGCTTTTCTGACCAATGTCTGGATCAGAAGACAGTAGCCTTTGATACTAAAGGACTTTCTGCTCCCCAAACAAATGGCAAGATTCTCCCTCTGTACACATAATTCCACATACAGAAGCTGGGCTGGGCTGGCCATTGGCTCTTATTTGGATGCTGCTGATGGAGCAGCAGATTAACTGAGGAGGTGCAGTGCAGCTTGTGTGGTCTACATATCTCTACCCACCCCAGCATCTGCTACCTGAGGCAACTGCCTCATTCTGCCTAAGCAAAGAGTGGGCTGAATCCTGGGGTTTCTATGGGGCTTCGTGGATCACTGGCACCCAAAGAGCTTTGTGTGCTTTTCTCTGCACTCCTCCCTAGCACAACACGACTGGTTCCACTCCCTGCCTGTCCCTCCGTCAACTTCCCTTTCCCATGCATTCCTCTACTTTATGAGAAACCTCATTCCATATGACTGTGCTGTATACAGACCACCAGTTTCATCTGCTGCTGCTGCTGTTGCTGAATCCTTTCTGGGTGCTTCATTATCTATGGACTCTGCACCCTTTTCGGGTGTTGGCGTCTCCACCCTTTCAGTTTTTTCTGTGAAACAACAAGCCATTATAACATGGAGGATAAGACTATGAACCCATTGGTTGGAGTATAAGTCTCTTGTCAAGTATGAGAGTTCACAATGTTCACTTTTGTTGTCCTGTACTTAATGCCCTATTACAATAACATAATGTTTAAATTAGATACACATGTAGAAATGTAAATGTTTGCATTATTACAAAAGATGCAGGAGGAAATGACTAACATTAGGACCCACAAAGGGGAGGGGGGAAGTCCATGAAATTCTCTGGAATCTTGTTTTTATATTGTATATTGATATGTGATTGTAAAATTTTGATTTGAAAAACCAGATAACAAAATAAATAAATAAAAAGACTTTGGAGACCACAAGTTGGACCTGGAATAGAAGCAGACGGAAGCTTTGCATTTCTTGTGCATTCCTCTACTTTATGAGAAACCTCATCCCATATGAATGTGCTGTATACACACCATCAGTTATAGTTGCAGGTGGTTCTGCCTCCGCTGGTGCTTCTTCTGGTGCTGCAGGCTTTGTGGGTTTTGTGGGGTTTTTGGGCTTTGCAGGCTTTGCCGGTGCTGGCTTCTCCATCCTCTCAGTTTTGTCTGTGAAGCAACAATCTAGAATCAGATAAAAACAAATGGCGAATAAGACTATGAGCACATTAGGTAGACAGCGGTATCTGTCAGTATTAGACCATCCTTTCCCGTAAATACATTGTTGTGTCCAATATAACTGAAACGTCTTTCTCTTTTCCTTTCATTGGATCAATCTTAGTTTTAAACCAAAAGAGATGTTCCACATGGATTCCAAGGCATTTTTAAAATTTTTAGGTAATATAGCACATTCTCATTTTGCATCCTATTCCTCTCTAAACTCCTGGACATCTAGTTTACAGGGCTCCAGTAAGATGCTCACCATTTAATAGATAATGTGGGATCTATTAGGGAAGTTTTTAATGTGTGATGTTTTATCCATTGGGAGCCGCCCGGAGTGGCTAGGTAAACCCAGCCAGGTGGGCAGGTATAAATAAAAAATTATTATTATTGGTGTTATTTATGAGGTCTTTAGATGTTCCTGGGTGCCAATTCCCTCCATCACAGGCATCAAGGTCAATGGTTGGGGATGACGGGAGTTGTAGGATGACTTATCATTTAGCCTCTTAGTGACCTTTTGGCCCTGGAATGAGACCCTGCAAATATCACAGCTTGTAAGGAAAGTGTTCCACCTATTAGACCTCTTTCTGTTTGGATACCTTGGTGTTGTCATGGAACAATCTTTTCTCTAATTTCTTCTTAAGGTTGTTTCATCCTCCCACTGGCTAAGAACCACCTCCCTTGTGATGTCAGACATTCCATAACTCCTCCCATTTAGGCTATACTATTTCCTGATTGGCTGCTCATTATATCCAATCAGCATTCCACATAAAGCATAAACCCAGGGAAATGTTTATTTCAGATTTATTATACTACTTATTTTTTTCCAGAGTTATTAGTTTTATTTTTTTATTTAGGCTGGGTACATATATATTTTAAAGTGTTTTAAAGGTGTTTTTACTTTTTACTTTGTTGTACCACCGTGAACAGTGGTTTTTATCTATGTATTTTTATTTTGTTCCGTTTTATTGTGGTTTGGGGTGGGGATTGGTTTTGTTTAGGTATAATTGTTTTTGGTTTGTTTTGTTTTTCTATTTTGTAAATGGAGGCTTGTATGAGGCTTGGGATTGCTACCGTGGAGGGGCGAGGGAGGTATGGTGGTGGGGGCAGATGTTATAGGCGAAGGGGATCGAGATACGGATATGCTCGTACCCCTTCCAATCTGCGCCCCATCCCGAGGGACGAGGGTAGGGTGAGCAAGGATTACTCACCTCCGTCACTGGTGTTGTGCAATGCCAGGTCTATAGGCAACAAAACCGCCACTCTGCGAGATTTCTTTACCTCGCAGTGGGTCGACCTGGCTTGTGTGACGGAGACCCGGGTGCGCGAAGGGGCAACAGTTACCTTACGAGAGATGGCACCCCCGGGTTTCTCCATCCTCCACCAGTCACGATCCCCAGCATTGAATGTGTTGGCCTAGTGTGGGGCTCTGAGGTGAGCTTGGCTGTCTGTCTGGTGTACTGGCCACCTAGCGCACCAGCAGCTACCCTGTCAGGCCTGCTGGAGGCGGTGGCCGGCTGGGCCTTGGAGTTCCCTAACCTATTGGTATTGAGGGACTTCAACATCCATGCTGATGCCACTCCCTCCTCACAGGCTCTGGACCTGGTGTCTTCCATGGCGACACTAGGGCTCTTCCAGTTTGTTTCAGGCCCCAAACCTCAAGGAGGCCACACACTGGATTTGATCTTTGGCGTAGGTGTAGATGTGATCATGTCTCCTTCGATGAAGGTGCCATGGTCTGATCACTACGCTCTGAAAGCCAGGATTGACTTTCCACCCCCACCCTGCTTAGGTGGCGAGCCGATTTGGGCTCACCCGCAGAGGCTGATGGACCCTGATAGATTCCGTCAAGCCTTGCGGGACCTTGCTCCCCCTGGCGACTCATTGACTGAGCTTGTTGAGGGCTGGAATATCCAGCTCCTGGCAGCCATAGATGAGATCGCACCTAAGCGCCCTCTGCGACTCCGCAGAAACCGAGGTTTACCGAGGAGCTTCGGAAAATGAAGCGGGACCTCAGACGGCTAGAGCGAGTATGGCGGGGTGCCCGTGATGCAGCCTCAAGAACATCTTATATGGTTTTTATGAAAACCTATGAGATGGCAGTGAAGGCCGCTATGAAGTCTTACTTCTCAGCCTCCATTGCATCCGCTTGCTCTCACCCGGCGCAATTATTCAGTATAATTAGGTCTTTAACGTCCCTTGAGGGACAGCCAAATTTAAATAACAATCTGACACACAGCTGTGAGGCATTTGCGAGCTTTTTTGCGGAGAAGGTCCTGTTGCTCCGCCATGACCTCCCTGCTAATTTGGATACAATAAAGGAACTGGAGGCCCCTCGACTGTCCTCGGGTCCAGTATTGGACCACCGGATATCCCCAGCCGATGTGGACGGACTCCTCCGAGCTGGAAAGCCCACCACCTGTCCTCTTGACCCGTGCCCGTCTTGGCTGATTAGAGCGTGTCCAGACGAGGTGCGGGCCCCCCTGGGGGATATCATCAATTTGTCCCTTGGCACCGGGATATTTCCAGGGGAATTGAAGGAGGCAGTGGTGCACCCGCTCTTAAAAAAAACATCATTAGATCCCTTAGATCTATCCAATTACCGCCCGGTTTCGAATCTTCCATTCCTGGGTAAGGTGATTGAGAGAGCGGCTGCTGAACAGCTTGGTAGGTTTCTGGATGAAACATCGGCTCTGGATCCATTCCAGTCCGGCTTCCGCGCTGGTCATGGGACCGAGACGGCTCTGGTCGCCCTAACAGATGATCTCCGCAGGCAGCTGGATCGAGGCGGGTCGGGGCTGCTGATTCTTCTAGACCTGTCAGCAGCCTTCGACATGGTCGATCACGAACTCCTGGACCACCGCCTCGCCGATGTGGGGATCCAGGGCACAGTCCTTCAATGGCTGCGCTCGTTTCTCTCTGGTCGGGGACAGAGGGTGGCGCTTGGGGGGGAATTGTCATCGCGCCACTCCTTGGTGTGTGGAGTGCCTCAGGGTGCGATACTCTCCCCGATGCTTTTAACATCTTTATGCGCCCCTCGCCCAGCTTGTCCGGAGTTTTGGGCTGGGTTGCCATCAGTATGCCGATGACACCCAACTCTATCTGTTGATGGATGGCCATCCTGACTCGGCCCCAGACACACTGACCAGATGTTTGGAAGCTGTGGCTGGATGGTTACGTGGAAGCCAGTTGAAGTTAAATCCTTCGAAGACAGAGGTCCTCTGGCTGGGACGGGACGATATGGGATTGGGGGGGCAACTCCCATCTCTTGCGGGGGTGCAATTAGTGCCAGCACCGTCCGTTAAGAGTTTGGGTGTAATCTTCGATACCTCCCTCTCTATGGAGGCGCAGATTACAGCTATAACAAAGGCGGCATTTTTTCATCTCCGCCAAGCTAAGCAGTTGGCTCCTTACCTCTCTCACCCTGACCTAGCCACTGTGATCCACGCGACGGTCACCTCCAGACTGGATTATTGTAACTCGCTCTACGTGGGGCTTTACTTGAGACTGACCCAGAAACTCCAGCGGGTGCAGAATGCCGCCGCGAGACTCCTTATGGGGTCTTCGCTGCGAGATCACATTCATCCGGTACTATACCAGCTGCACTGGCTCCTGGTGGAGTACAGGATCAGATTTAAGGTGCTGGTTTTAACCTTTAAAGCCCTATACGGCCTAGGACCCTCGTACCTATGGGACCGCCTCTCCTGGTATGCCCCACAGAGGAACCTACGGTCTGCAAATAAAAACATCCTGAAGGTCCCAGGCCTCAGAGAGGTTAGGCTGGCCTCAACTAGAGCCAGGGCTTTCTCGGCTGCGACTCCAATCTGGTGGAACGCTCTGTCACAAGAGACTAGGGCCCTGCGGGACCTGACATCTTTCCGCAAGGCCTGCAAGACAGAGTTGTTCCACCAGGCCTTTGGTCAGGGCCCAGCCTGACTCCCTCCTCTGGCAACCTGCACAGAATTTTTCTTAACGGTTGCCATTAATTTGATTTTAATTAATTTTTATAATGAAATGTTTTAGAATGTTGGATTATTTGATTGTTTGATTATTTGATTGTTGTTAGCCGCCCTGAGCCCGGCTTCGGCTGGGGAGGGCGGGATATAAATAAAATTATTATTATTATTATTATTATTATTATTATTATTATTATTACCTTCAAAGCGTATCCCCCAGAAGAATCCTTACTCTTCATAAACTCTGCTAGTAGTATTGGAAAGCTTCCTATCTCAACATTTGTACCAGGAAATATGGCAAAGTACATTAGTGTAAGGGACGCGGGTGGCGCTGTGGTCTAAACCAGGGTTTCCCAAACTTGGGTCTCCAGCTGTTTTTGGACTACAATTCCCATCATCCCTGACCACTGGGCCTGCTAGCTAGGGATGATGGGAGTTGTAGTCCAATAACAGCTGGAGACCCAAGTTTGGGAAACACTGGTCTAAACCACAGAGCCTAGGGCTTGCCGATCAGAAGGTCGGTGGTTTGAATCCGTGCGATGGGGTGAGCTCCCGGTGCTCGGTCCCTGCTCCTGCCAACCTAGCAGTTGGAAAGCACATCAAGTGCAAGTAGGTAAATAGGTACCACTCCAGCAGGAAGGTAAATGGCTTTTCCGTGCGCTGCTTTGGTTCGCCAGAAGCAGCTTAGTCATGTTGGCCACATGACCCGGAAGCTGTCTGCAGACAAACACCGGCTTCCTCGGCCTATAGAGCGAGATGAGTGCCGCAACCCCAGAGTCGTCCACGGCTGGACCTAATGATCAGGGGTCCCTTTACCTTTACCTTTACATTAGTGTAAATCTTCATTTGCAAAGTTAAAGCACAAAGAAAAGGAACAGAAGCAGTCAAATTTCAACATGTTCGGTATACGTTTACTGAATGTATCATCATCAAAACGTACATGCCACCAGTTTTATTTTTCCAGAAAAAAGGGTACTGGAACTGACCTTGTACACTTCCCTTGCTTTCTCATAATGGTGTCTGCCTGAGAGGTGTCAGAACTGAGTTCCAGTGAGTTCCACATGGAAAAAAGCCCTGCATGCAGCTGACCTTCAACCAATGGCAACTCATCGAGAACTGTACTTTGATAGAAAGATAGATCTGCAGAAACTCTGAATTGGACTCTGATAAGCTTCATATGCTAGAAATTCCTCATAACTACGTACACTTGTTTCTCTTGTTGTCCATTGTGTTTTTTTATGAGCCTCTTGGGCTTGCTGATTGGAAGGTCAGCGGTTCGAATCCCTGCGAAAGGGTTATCTCCCATTGCTCTGTACCAGCTCCTCCCAACCTAGCAGTTTGAAAGCATGCCAGTGTTTTTGGAGAGGTAACCGCTATCAGCTGGAACTTGAAGTTTTTCTTTGCTGGATCACATTGGAGCATTTACCCAGTGACTTGATCTCTCACCCCCCCCACTCCGCTACCTTCAAAGCAGCTGGGGACCAAGAGAGACATCGTGTTTCAGGTTGAAGGACCCCTAGGAGCTTAAAGAGATCCCTTTAGGTTTTTAGGGGTGCACTTCGCCTTAGCGCTTCCCCTAACCCTCTTACGAAGATTGGGCCTGTCGGAATGATCAGGTTCACGCTCCCTGCACATTCACGCAGCACCCAGAAGTCCAAATCCATGGCTTCAAGTTACAAGAAAGGATATTCCAACTAAACACCTTTCTGATACTAAGAGCGGTTTGACAGTGGAACAGTTTCCATGGGAGGTTGTGGACTCCTTTAATGGAGCTTTTAAAGCAGAGGTTAGATGGCAATCTGTCATGGAGGCTTCAATTTGAGATTCCTGCATTGCAGAGGGTTGGACTACATGACCCTCTGAGTCCCTTCCAACTCTACAATCCTATGATTCTCTCAAGCATGTGGTAAAGCCACATGACAGGAAGGAATCCACCCAGATGTTCTGAAAGCCAGCTTCTGTTCTTCCCTCATGAAACACCTCCACAACCTCCTCTTTTGGTGTTGGGAACAAGGATCCATGGCATAAGCCACAAGAATCATATATACTACCAAGATTATATCATTTTGTCAATAAATTATTAAAATATCAGTTCTTTATGCTCCTTGGCTGGGTATGCAGGACAGATTGAAGCAACCGCAAACACTTTCAGATATCAATCATGCAAGATGTGGCAGGACTGGTCCCCGGCTTGGCTCCCGGCTTGGCTCCAAGCTATTCACACCTTGTAAGGGTGTGATTCAGAACAGCAGAATCTAATAGGTTACTTAACTCAGTTGACGGCCACTTTGCATAGGAGCCAACTCCTAGGGCGCAGAGGTCCCTTGGCCTTCTGATCATCCTGTGATCAGTTATGCAGGTGGAGCTTATCTGCTCCACCCTCAATATTTTGTTCAAGTTGGCACCCCTGCTACCATGAATGCCATTAAAGCAGCAGCACATGCTGCCAGTGCTGTGCCCACACTGGTGTGGGCCCCAGTCATGCCCCCTGCCAAGTTCTGAAGAAATCAAGAGCAGTTCAAGGTGTTTGTTGCCCAATATTAGCTCTATATGAGAGTAAGGGTGCCTGAATTTCCAAAGTTGTATTTGTGATTAGTCTGCTAGAAGGGGACACCAAACGCTGGGTGGTCCCCATTCTCATTGCCTGGCATGCATGGTTGTCCTTACGTGCCTTGTAAGGTAGCGACCATGGAGATCAGAAGGGGCAATGGGGCATCAAACACACAGAGTAAGGAAACAAATATTGGTATGCATTGCAAATAAATACATTAAACAGAAAACAGGCTATGATTGGACACTTCCATTTTTTATTTTTGTAGCCATCTACGTCTGAGCTTGCAGAATAAGGTATTTTCAATGTGATTTTGAGGGCTGATGCCAAAGAGTCCCATAATCTAGATGGCAGTGCGGATTGTGCATTAAAACAGTGGTGTGGGAGTGATCTCTTGGTTTTGCTTTTGTGTAGAGATCATGGGATCCAGTTTCATTCATCTTAAGGTGTCTTCTTAGAGCCAAGTATCATCAGGCCCCTTCTTACAAATATACTGTTTTTGTAGATCACAGTCTAATGCATTCCAGCAGTTTTCGTAGTAGCAATCAAAGGTCATCGCACCACAGTTGTGGTTCTCTTTATAACTTGGCTCATAGTAATTCCAGTAGCTGAAAAGAAAAGAAACAGCAGCACTAATGAATCAAAATTGGATGTCTACCTCACTGGCTCCCCATGCCTTCTACCATTAAAGAGATGTCCAACGCTTTCTCTCTTAACAGCCACCCACAATTGGGATTTTTTTTCTCCCCAGATTTTGGAATTCTAACCATGTAAAAAAAGCTGTGGTTTAAGACTGTATGTGAGGTGTGATACATAAGTAGCAGTCAAGTACAACATTCCTTGTTTTCCTACAGTGGACATGTGATGGGATGTTTGGTCCAGTCAGTCAAAAACTTCCCGTTTCCTCCTGCACTGGGACATACTTCCTTTTGCATGTGACTAGAGGTGGGCGTGTCCTTACCTGTCCAGGTAACAAAAGGTCCAGGCACGCAGCACACACTATCTCTTTTTTTGGCTTCCTCCTTTGTTGGACAAGGAGCTTTTTAGCTAGAGATGCTCTGTTGCTTTCAGCCAACAGAGGACAAAGGGACTATCTATCTCCATATGGGATAGTTCTGCATGTATATGCTTTGTAACTAAATCTGCCTACAGGGATCCAGCTGTGAATTGATGATGCTGTGAGTAAACTTCCTTTATTGACTTTAAATAATATTTTTGTTTGTTTATTCTTTTATAAGGGATATAAGGGGTCTTACCAGGAACATACAATTCAATTCTGAATTGTATGCTATTGAGAGGCTTAAGCAAAGCCTGCAACCAGGTACCTGCTGTGTGTTAAAAAGAGAATGTAAAACTCTGCAAACATGAATTTTACCAAACTGCAGTAGGCAATGGAAGACAGGAGTTCCTGGGGTCATGAAGAGTTGGACACGACTAAAAGACTAAACAACAACAACAAAACTCTGCAAAGTTATATAACGTGCTAGCACAAGTGAGGAATGATATTAATAAACAATATATCCTCTACGGCCTCCCTGAACATTCCCACATTCTAACCATTTTTTAAAAAACCACAGCAACAACTGTGGGTCAAGACTGTCTGTTTTCTTTTCACATGTAGTGATTCCTCATAGGAAACTGCAAAAAAAGTGAGGGTGTCACTATGGAAGGCTCTTTGGTGCACACAGGAACTTTCAGTCAATTTATTTAACAATTTTGGGCAGTATGCAATGCAGTACTTCTGCTATTGCCAGGATTTCCATTTCTGCAACGGAACTGCCCCTCTCTCCTCTCCATATGCACCCACATCCTCCTCAGATCTGCTCTCTATCATTGTGGGTTTTGGAGAGAGGGTTTTGGAAGAGAGATCCTTACTCTCTCATAGCAAAGTTAGCCCAGTAGTGATTGTTCTGAGCATATTAAAACCTTGTTAGATTTGCATCCGCCTTCATGCATCTCATCTCACCTCCATCACCCACCCCATGCATGAGAATAGCAATGACACTATACAGAAACAAAAATAGCTAAGTCTACAACTGAAATACAAAATATAATCTATAACCACAAAGCCATTATAGGGTTGATTGAAATGGTATGATAACTCTCTCATATATATCTTATCAAAATCTAACATGAAGGTTCTAAGTTTTTTCTAATCAATTATCCATACACTTGTACCTCGGGTTACAAACACCTCTGGTTACAAGCACTTCGGGTTACAGATTCTGCTAACCTGGAAGTAGTACCTTGGGGTTAAGGACTTTGTTAAGGACAGAAATCGTGCAGTGGGAGGGCGGGCGGCGGGAGGCCTGATTAGCTAAAGTGGTGCCTCAGGTTAAGAACGGTTTCAGGTTAAAAACGAACCTCTGGAATGAATTAAGTTCATAACCAGAGGTACCATTGTTCTTGATTAAGATATCACCCTAGCCCCACGCTTATTGTAACTTCTGGTAATGCCTTGCATTCTCCAGTGTCCATTGTATACTGAATCAAGTCCCACCACACAGCACTAAAATTCTGTGGTAAATGTATTCTATAACTGTCATGAGACAAAGGTTCTTGAGAGCAGAAGCAGTAAAACCTACAAGGCCTACACAATCATTCAAGCCTACTGTTAACTGTTAACAGCAAACTGCTAAGTCACTGTGAATCATGACTCATCTTGAGTGTTGACTCATTCTCCCTATAAAAGTAGCCAGCCTCTTTGTGTTTCTCTGTGCCAGTGTGTGTCTCAGCCAGTGTGTGTGTTGTGTTGTGTTGTGGTGTGGTGTTGTGTTGTGTTGTGTTGTGGTGTTGTGTTGTGTTGTGTTGTGTTGTGTTGTGTTGTGTTGTTGCAGACAGAGTGGCTCTAGAACTCTAGTAAATCAGTAACTAAGACTGTGGCTCTGTGAAGAGTTAGATAGCTGCTATGAGCACTCTGTGTATGCTCTTTGACTATGCTGTTTATGAACAAGTTTATTTTCTTCAGTAAAAGTAAAAGTTTTGTTTTGTTTATAAAGAAGACTCTGGTTTGATTAATTTACTCCCTCATTTTTAGCTCTCCGTGAATCTAGTAAATTGATATTAGTAATAATGGTGTAGTAGGTGTTTTTTTACTCCCATGAGATGTTTCGGTGAGATCTGCCCTTTGATCAAGTCAAAGATCACATACAGTAGTGGCTCCCACGGACCACCCACCCAGGGGCTCCATGGTCCATGGTAAAAACTGCCGCAGAGATATCAAAATGTTCAAAGGTACATTTTTGAAAAACAAGGGGTCTGCAGTACTTAGCTAACTGGGAACCACTGGCATACAGGGTTTTGAGTTCCCAGCTAGTATTATACAACCCCACTGCCCATTTGTAAAGTTTACTCAATACCTTTGCCGAAAAGGATTAGTGGTTGGTATTGGGTGCATCAATAGAGATGAATGTCAATGGATTTTGTTCCAGGAGACATTGCACAAATTGAAAGTGACCCTCTGTTAATCTGGACTTGGAAATAAGTGCCAGACCAGCTCGCTGTTCTACTACCTAGCTGTGGATGAGTAAGATCTTCTCTGACCTTATCAATGCATCAACACAAGCTGACAAGAGTTGTTAGATACTTAAAGGGAACCATGAACTGCCAGCAGCCAGAAACTCAAACTATTAGGAATCTGTCAGGGATTATTCAGTTGTGATTCCTGTTTTGCAGGGGGTTCGACTAGATGACCCTTGGGGTGTCATCCAACTCTAAATTTCTATGTGTTTATGATTCTATTCAAGAGAGTGAGATTCATCTGCCCTATCTTACACACTTACTTCATCTGCTCCTGTTATTTTAGGTTAGAAATTGCTGGCTATTCAGATTGTTTAGCAGATAACTGCAGAAATATTTTCCTAAAGAGAGGGTAGCTCAGCTTTAGGTTCCTGCAAGTCCTTTTGCAGCTGAGCTAATCAGCACAAACCATTTATAAGGATGCCTTCAGCCTCTTCCGAATCACTGCATTCACTACGTTAGAGAAGCAAGAATAGCCTTCCTGCCTCTCCAACCTTGTGAGAAGAAGCAGGCACTCATCTGGATAATGATGTGGAGGAGTACATATGTAGATCTTTGGTAATAGAAAAAACTGCATGGCAAAATATATTTGGAGAGGGAAAGGATCAATTATGTAAACAAAACCTGCAACTTTTTGGAATGCATGCCATTAACAAATGTTTCTTCAAAAACTTACTGGACTGCAGCCTCCATTCCTGACAGCCACGACCATTTCTTCCCCTTGTCTTTAAAGACTCCAATCCAAAAAATCATTTTACGGTGTTTTACTTGCTTGTTTATAAAATACTAGGGTGGGGAAAAAGAAAAACAGAAAATCATCAGTAGGAATGAGAAGCCAGGCACTTCTCTAAAAGCCTTTCTAGACAAAGACTCTCCTCCCTGGAAGAGAGGGGAGTGGTTGTGGGCGGGAGCCCGAGCACCGCCCCTAGCAGGGGGCATTAGCCCCCTGCCTCCTCCTCTCACCTGGCTGGCGCCCACGCCCCCTCGGCAGGCATCCAACCAGGTGCCTTTGAGGGGCGTGTTCAGCAGCCTTTGCGGCGGCGCCAGCCTCTCCTCGGCCTCATTCTTCTCCGTCCTCTCGTCGCGAGTCACCCACCCTCCACTCCCTTTTAGCTCAGGGTCTTTGTTCTTTGGCCTTGCTATGGACCTTAGGCTGGTCGCCCTGGTTGTCTAGGGGGCCTGGTAGGAATTTTTCCATTTGGCATTAGGCTTTTGGGTTTTTTCGCCTACCTCGTAGCAATCGTCACAAAATCATCAGTAGGAATGAGAAGCCAGGCACTTCTCTAAAAGCCTTTCTAGACAATGTCCCTTTCTCTGGGAGACTGCAGCCCTTTCCTAACATTTAGCAGGCATAAAACAAACACATTTCAAAAGGAGCAGGTGTCACCTTTGAAGACCCAATCCACATTTTTTTGGGGGGGAAGCAGTGATCAAAACTATACAGTGGTACTTTTATTCTCAAACGCCTTGGTACTCAAACACCTTGGTTCCCAAATGCCGAAAACCCGGAAGTAAGTGGTTTGGTTTTGGAACGTTTTCCATAAGCCGAACGTCCAATGCAGCTGTTGGCTATTGTTTCCGGGGCACCTGCACCAATCAGAAGCTGCGCCGTGGTTTTTGAACATTTTGGAAGTCAAACAGACTTCTGGAACAGATTAAGTTTGGCGCTTTTGTTTTTGCTATTTATTTTGCCTTTTTGTTTTTGAGGATTTTTAGCTTAATTTGTTTTTGTGACTGTGTGGAACCCAGTTCAGCTACTGATTGATTGAGGGTGTGACTCTGGAAATAGATAAAAGCATCCTGTCCAAACAATGACTATCATCAATGTAGGTAATAAAATAATAATAATTTTAATTTCTATCATCTACAAAACTGTCTTATTTATTTTATGGTACGGTACATTGGATATTACTTTCACTTAATGGATCAGTGGTCTTGTTAGATAGTAAAAGTCATGCTAAATTGCTGTTTTAGAGGTTGTTTTTAAAAGTCTGGAATGGATTAATCCATTTTGCATTACTTTCTATGGGAAAGCGGGCCTTGGTTTTGAAACGCTTTGGTTTTGGAACTGACTTCCGGAACTGATTAAGTTTGAGTACCAAGGTACCACTGTACATAGTATTCCAACTATGGTTATATCAAGCACCAAGAATAATTGTGTACTGACGATGTGCTACTGTGCCCCTGATCCAAATTATGATGATGCTGATGATGAATGATGATGATGGAATCAAGGAAGCATCCCAAAGAGGAAATATTGCAGTGAAGGGTAACTTCACCTGCCCTCACCGAGACTGGCTACATAGAATCATAGAATCATAGAGTTGGAAGAGACCACAAGGACCATCGAGTCCAACCCCCTGCCAAGCAGGAAACACCATCAGAGCACTCCTGACATATGGTTGTCAAGCCTCTGCTTAAAGACCTCCAAAGAAGGAGACTCCACCACACTCCTTGGCAGCAAATTCCACTGTCAAACAGCTCTTACTGTCAGGAAGTTCTTCCTAATGTTTAGGTGGAATCTTCTTTCTTGTAGTTTGGATCCATTGCTCCGTGTTCGCTTCTCTGGAGCAGCAGAAAGCAACCTTTCTCCCTCCTCTATGTGACATCCTTTTATATATTTGAACATGGCTATCATATCACCCCTTAACCTCCTCTTCTCCAGGCTAAACATGCCCAGCTCCCTTAGCCGTTCCTCATAAGGCATCGTTTCCAGGCCTTTGACCATTTTGGTTGCCCTCCTCTGGACACGTTCCAGTTTGTCAGTGTCCTTCTTGAACTGTGGTGCCCAGAACTGGACACAGTACTCCAGGTGAGGTCTGACCAGAGCAGAATACAGTGGCACTATTGCTTCCCTTGATCTAGATGCTATACTCCTATTGATGCAGCCCAGAATTGCATTGGCATTTTTAGCTGCCGCGCCACACTGTTGGCTCATGTCCAGTTTGTGGTCAACCAAGACTCCTAGATCCTTTTCACATGTACTGCTCTCAAGCCAGGTGTCACCCATCTTGTATTTGTGCCTCTCATTTTTTTTGTCCAAGTGCAATACTTTATATTTCTCCCTGTTAAAATTCATCTTGTTTGTTTTGGCCCAGTTCTCTAATCTGTCAAGGTCGTTTTGAAGTGTGATCCTGTCCTCTGGGGTGTTAGCCACCCCTCCCAGTTTGGTGTCATCTGCAAATTTGATCAGGATGCCCTTGAGTCCATCATCCAAGTCGTTGATAAAGATGTTGAATAAGACCAGGCCCAAGACAGAACCCTGTGGCACCCCACTAGTCACTCTTCTCCAGGATGAAGAGGAACCATTGATGAGCACCCTTTGGGTTTGGTCAGTCAGCCAGTTACAAATCCACTGAGTGGTAGCATAGTCAAGACCGCATTTTACCAGCTTCTTTACAAGAATATCATGGGGCACCTTGTCAAATGCCTTGCTGAAATCAAGGTAGGCTACATCCACTGCGTTCCCTTCATCTACCAGGCTTGTAATTCTGTCAAAAAACGAGATCAGGTTAGTCTGACATGACTTATTTTTCAGAAATCCATGCTGACTATTGGTGATCACAGCATTCCTTTCTAGGTGCTCACAGACTGTTTGCTAAATGATCTGCTGCAGAATCTTCCCTGGTATTGATGTCAGACTGACTGGGCGGTAATTATTTGGGTCCTCTCTTTTCCCCTTTTTGAAAATAGGGACAACATTTGCCCTCCTCCAGTCTGCCGGGACTTCGCCTGTTCTTCAGGAATTCTCAAAGATGACTGCCAGTGGTTCTGAGATCACATCTGCCAGTTCTTTTAATACTCTTGGATGCAGTTCATCTGGCCCTGGAGACTTGAATACATCTAAACTAGCCAAGTATTCTTGTACTATCTCCTTAGTTATTCTGGGCTGTGTTTCCTCTGCTGAATCATTTGCTCCAAATTCTTCAGGTCGGGCATTGTTTTCTTTATCGGAGAAGACTGAGGCAAGGAAGGCATTGAGGAGTTCAGCCCTTTCTGTGTCCCCTGTTTGCATTTCACCATCTTCTCCTCTGAGTGACCCCATTGTTTCTTTGTTCTTCCTTTTGCTACGAACATACCCATAAAAGCCTTTTTTGTTGCTTTTAACCTCTCTAGCAAGCCTGAGTTCATTCTGTGCTTTAGCTTTTCTGACTTTGTGTCTACACGTGCTGGCTATTTGTTTGAATTCCTCTTTGGTGGTTTCCCCCTTTTCCATTTTTGTACACATCCTTTTTAATCTTAACTCAGTTAAAAGTTCTTTAGATAGCCACCCTGGCTTCTTTAGGCACCTTCCATGTTTCCATCTCATTGGTATTGCCTGAAGTTGTGCTTTTACTATCTCGCTCTTAACAAACTCCCAGCCTTCATGAACTCCCTTTCCTTTTAGTATTACTGTCCATGGGATCTCACCCAGCACTTCCCTAAGTTTTATGAAGTTGGCTTTCTTAAAGTCAAGAAATTGAGTCCTAATATGCTTGGCTGCTCCTTTCCGCTGTATAGTAAACTTCAGAAGAGCATGATCACTCGCGCCTAATGATCCTTCCACTTCTATCCCACTAACCAGGTCATCAACATTGGTTAGGACCAGATCTAAAATGGCTGTTCCTCTTGTTGCTTCTCCCACTTTCTGGACAATGAAGTTGTCTGCAAGGCCAGTGAGGAATCTGTTTGATCTTATGCTCTTGGCTGAGTTTGACATCCAACAAATATCCGGGTACTTGAAGTCCCCCATTACTACTATCTCCCTTCCTTTTGCATGCTTGGCCATCTGTTCCAGGAAGGCATCATCTATGTCCTCCGTTTGGCTTGGGGATCTATAGTAAACTCCCACAATGAGGTCACTGTTATTCTTCTCTCCCTTAATTTTGACCCAAATGCTCTCACTTTGGCTTTGAGGTTCTAAATCTTGGATCTCTTCACAGGTATACACATCCCTGACATATAACGCCACTCCTCCTCCTTTCTTGTCTGGTCTGTTTCTCTGAAATAGACTGTATCCCTCCTTTATTACATTCCAATCTTGGGACTTATTCCACCAGGTTTCAGTGATGCCTATTATGTCATATTTAGTTTGCTGTACCAAGAGCTCAAGCTCATCTTGTTTATTTCCCATGCTTTGTGCATTAGTGTACAGACACTGAAGTCCATTAATCATTCCCCCGTGTCTCTTATTTAAGGATTTTTTCCTCCCACCACTAGGTCTGCGTGCTGTTTGCTCCATTTGGTCTATGACATTTGGATGATCATCTTCATCAATTGATAGACTCCTACCTTCAGGAGCACTGTCTCCCTCCCCCACATTAGTCAAAGCCCTCCTGATGAGGTTTCTGAGATTTTTGGCAAAAACATTCCTCCCAACCGTTGTGAGGTGCAGCCCATCGCTTGCCAGAAGTCCATCTTCAAGAAACTGCAGTCCGTGAACTAATAATCCAAACCATTCCTGTTTACACCATTTGCGAAGCCAGCTGTTCACTTCCACTATTTTTCCCTCTCTCCCTGGGCCACGGCGTTCAACTGGGAGGACAGATGAGATGACAATTTGTGCATTTAATAGCTTCAATTTCCTGCCCAGAGCCTCGTAGTCTCTTTTGATCTTCTGGAGGCTATTGCTTGCAGTGTCATTGGTTCCCACATGAACCAAGAGGAAGGGGTATTTGTCAGTGGGTTTTATGATCCCTTGCAGTCGTTCAGTTACATCTTGGATCTTAGCCCCGGGGAGACAGCACACTTCCCGAGACATCTTGTCAGGCCCACAGATCACTGCTTCTGTTCCCCTCAGTAGGGAATCCCCTATCACCACTACACGCCTCCTCTTATGTTTGGTCGGGGTTCTTCCGTGAGCTGTCTGTTCCAAGGTCGCCTGCACATTCCCTGAGGACTGACTTTGCTGCCTTCCAGTCATGTCTTCCAGTCACGACAGAGAGTTAAAATTCCCAGATACTATAAATGACTGTGCCATAGAACACTTCATCTTGGAACCATCTAGTGGGACAGTGACCCTGGGTAGCAAATACTCCAATTTCTGCATCCATGTTTGTTGGTTTGTTCCAGAGCTACTGGAATCAGTCTGGTTGTGGTATGCTTGATGGGTTGATGATGGGGGTCTCACCTATGTCTATGCCCTGCAGCACCCCAGTAGCCCCTCTGCCTGGGCCAAGGGGCTGCGAGGGGCTATACCTTGCAAGCTCCTATAGTCATCTCCAGGATACTCTCATGCCAGAGGGTTAGGGTGGTGAGGGAAACCTTTTTCCTAAGCACTCAGTACATCTCAAAGAGCAGAGGAAGAATCTACAGGAAATCCAAGGGATAGATTTCCCTCAAGTATCTACTCCTCCTCTTCCTTCAAGACCTCCTTCCTGACTGCCAGCATCAGAGCTCAGCAGCTCTAAGAAACCTCATTGAGTCCTAGATGATAGCAGCTGGTCCCTGCCCCACCCACCCTTTGGTTTGACTGATGGAGTTGCTGTCTTGGCTGCATACAGGTAGATATGACCTTCTTAAATGGATAGTGATGAAATGAACCCTTTGACTCTAGGAGATCCCCTGTCTTTTCTATACGCGGCTTTGATGCTCACCTGTTCTTCCTTTGTTTCCATAGAAATGAGGTGGGCGCCTTCCTTCTCACACTTTTTTTTGGAATCCATCCATGTGCGTAGCTCAAGAGAAAAGAAATAGAAGGCCCTTGAATATAAAACCCAACCATCATTCAAGTTTCTAGTAAGGATGTCTTTGAGTCAAGCAGATATGGAGGAAGAAGAGAAAAAGAAAACAAGACAGGGAATTTAAGAGGAACAACCTTGTACATCTTTGCAGATTTCAAATATTTTTATTAAGTTCATTTCTGCAGCCACATAACATATATTCACCTAGGAAGCTCAGAAATATTAAAACAAGAACAACATTAACTCTTCAACCCCTTCATGATGCTGCAGGAAATAGCGGTGGGAGGGGCATAGCTGGAACAGGGAGCACAATGAAGAACCTTTTATTTGAGGGAATAGACAAAAGATGCATGTTCCTTCACAGGCCTTATCTGAACCCCAGGGGCCTCACCCACTTGTTTCCACCTGGATACTCAAGGCAGCATCAGGGCAGACTTGAAGGTTGGGAAGGGGGAGTAGCTGTGGTTTATCAAAATTCTCTTTCTTTCTCTAGGCTAACTGTCCAGTTGCGGATGTGGGGAGGGGAATCTAGAGTGTGTGTTCCTGGCATTGGGCAACTGGTACAGATGAAAGATTCTGCTGGTTTACCACCTAGTTTGCTGCCAAGCAGTCTCTCTGCCTGAGCTGACAGGATGGATCCAGTGGGCTTCCAATGGCTCTGGGGGATATTCCAGCTGATCTGACTGGTGCTCCTGTCGAGCTTTGGCCGAGCTCTTGAACAACCGAACAACAACAACAACAACAACAACAACAACAACAACAACACTTTATTTATATGCTGCCCATCTGACTGCGTTTCCCCAGCCATTCTGGGCGACTTCCACAATTGGACACCAACCATTAATAACTTCCCGGAACAGGGCTGCCTTCAGATGTCTTCTGAAGGTCAGATACTTGTTTTTTGCCTTGACATCTGGTGGTAGGGAGTGTCACAGGGCAGGCACAACTACCTAGAGGGCCCTCTGCCTTGACTAGGGCCATTGACACAATTCGCCCTGAGTGCCCTCCCCTATGTCATACACCAATCACCCCACTGCCCAGCAGTCTCTCTGACCAAGTTGGCAGAAGTTGCCTCAGAAGTGCTATTCAAGAATCCCTCTCCCATGGGTGAATATAATAAAGGACAGGTCTTTTAGCTGACCTGTTTTGATTGTCTCTCTTACAGCAAAGAATGACGAAGTCTTTTCTTTCCTCACCATAGAAGCTAAATCAATTCAGCAGATCAGGAGAGCTGAACTGAATATCTCTGATGTTTCCCTAGGGCGGCCCCATGCAAAGGAGGGCAGCACTCTGTTCTGGCTCTAAGAGTATTCAGCTGGGGGGGGGGCTTTCAGCTGGGGCAGAATCAGGGCAGGTTCCCACTGCACTACAATTCTTCAGCATCATAGGGTAGCTTACCAATTTCTTTTTGCAGTTCTTCATTTTTCTTGGAATAATACCGCATTTCCTCTGATTTGTTTTGAGCCACAGCGAGTATTTGGAAATCTAAAATATTAGAAACAGTTCAAGGGAGTAGTATCTGAAATAACAATCTGCAGATATTAAGAAACCACGTCCAAACATTTTAAAAGTCTCTATCCTAAAACAAGAAGCAGAGCTCCAGGATGGGGTTCTTATGAATATGAGGGCAGACTTGATTCTCTGTGGCTGAGATCACCAATGGAAAGCCTCAGAAGACCCCTGCAGCTGGATCAGACCAAAGACCCATGCAATCTGCTATCCTATTCTCATATTAAAAGTGGCTCATGAAGTATCTTTTATGTTGCCTCCTATGTTTCCCTTTCTGCAGGGAATCACAGGGTCACAAACCAATTCTCCACTGAGTCACACAGTAAAGCCAAATATGCAAAGATTACTTTACGGTTTTCAATTATGCTTTCTGAAATCTAAGAAAATACAGGCACCCAAACTCTTTTCCTGATGAATATTGGGTTGCATTACACATAGTTCTAAAGAGGGTGTTCTGTAAGCTCAGGAATTTCTCCTTGTGCACTGCAATCTCCAGCCCCTTTCCCTCCATTCTGTTCTGAAGTTTCTCCCCACCCTGGAGAGCAGTTTGGGTGATGGCATGCAGGGAGAAGTGGGGGCAAAGTTCCCTTGTACTTGTGCTAAATCTTGCACTAGCACAAACATTGTAAAGTACAGTGTGATGGGAGAGGACAGCATTTCTAGTGGGGAAATGTGAGAATCACAACTGTCTGCTTTTCTTCATGCTGAGCAATGAAACAGTGATAAACTCTATTGGGTGATGAGTTTCATTGAATGTTTTGCTCACACAATATGAATCCCAAAGTGAACTAAAGGAATTGAAGTTTGTTTAAACTAAACATGTCCTACAAAAAGTGAGGACATGCATATGAAACGCTTACCATCCTTGTCCACATAGAATGGTTCCATTCCAACAACAAAGGTACGAATCATGTGCATTGCCTCCTGAATCTCCTCTCTGTTTTTCATTTCCTTCTGATCTAAGGAGGAGGTACGTAGAAAAGAAATGAAATTGTGTTCTAGCCCAGTACTCTGGTGAGCTAGAAGAGGGGATACTTGGTTTCAAACTGCTTTTAATATTGATTTGAATTGCTGACTTCTAACGTGCCCCGGGATCTTAGGGAGAAGTATGAATAAAAAAATCAAACCAACAAAAACATGAATATGAATTCTATTAATATTTTCTGGCCTCAGCTCTTGTTTTGGGGGTTCCCATTCCTTGACTGTGGCTGCCCTGGTAGCCTGAAGTCCTGTTTTCATTTAGCCTGTTGCTTCTGTCATCAGATGGTTTGGCCTTCCTTTGAGAGCTTTAGGTTTTTGGGTGTCCAGATACACCTGTCCTCTTTGTCCTGTGGACTTGCATTTGCCACGCTGCTTAGAATGTGCAAATTCTTGAATCATTTGGTTCCCTCCCCCTGAGCTTTGCTTACTTTGGAGTGCCCTTTAAAAAAATCAATTACCTATGCAAACAGGTCATGTGTTCATCTATCCAGTGCTGTTTTCTAGAAAAAGAGGCTCTGGAACTCAGCATGAATGCCTCCCTTGTTCTCTTAGAATGGCATTGACACCCATCTGAGAGGTGTGATAACTGAGTCCTGATGAATTCTGGTTGAAAAAAGCCCTGCATATACCTTGATATTTAGGTAGGCTCTGGACCCACCCACATTAGCCATGGCCTTATCCTCTGTAGTCTGTTTTCCCCAAGCACTTTCCTTCATGGGACTGGAGCTGCAGCAGAGGGCAGGTGTCATGAATGAGTCATCCCCCAAGAGAAGTTTGCAGCTAGCTCCCAATGAAGGAAGGAGCTAGGATGAGAGAAGGTTAATTACAAGACAAGATGATTATAGCCGGGAGCCACCTCCGCTGCCCGTAGGAATGCCAACTGATAGCAGAGTTCCAGGAAGCCAGTCAGCAGCTTGCCAGCATGCTAGTGATGAACAAAATGCAGGGGCTAGAAATGAAAGCAGCTTAGAAAGCGGGAAAGATCACGGAAGTAATCTCTCAGACAATGAGGAAGGGACGGGAGCTGACCCCCTCAGCCCAAGGTCTAGGCATATGGGGAGTGTTCAAGACAGAATACTTCACAAAAGGAAGTTCAGCTGTTTCTGGTCTCGCCGAAACATCCACCTTAGAAGGGACATCTTTGATTTATGGACGGACGTCTGTGCTTGCCGCTCTGGTGAACTCTGTTTGTTTTGCAGTAAATATCATTTTAAATTAACTACGCTCATTGTTATCAAGACTTCCTTTCCTTCAAGGGACTGGAGCCCTAGCAGAGGGCAGGGTGGCGAGGACCAGGAATGGGGGCTCTCCCACAGGAAATGAGAATTAGTTGGGAAGGAACAGAGAAAGGCAACTGGGAAAGGGAATTGTCCAGGGTGTCCCGGGGACTTGTGTTATCCTGTGCTTCTGTTCCAAGTGCTGGAACTCACTTATTCAGGGAGAACAAAACAGTGTCATTGCTCTCACTGGGTGACAGCTATAACTCCCTCCATGATATCAAAGAGAGATGAAAGGGATAAATGGAAGCTGTATCCTGCCATCTCTTTTTGGAAATGCTGTTGGCATTGAAGCAAAGCACAAGACAGTAGTATCAATGTACGCCAATTATGTACTTACACAGAATGTAAATCAGCAGTGTCATGGCAATAAGGATGCAAATCTCAAGTATGATAAATCTTTCACCCGTTGGAGATTGGAAGAAGGTAACCAAGTCCTGAAAACCAGATGCTTGAAGAAAGAAAATTCTACTTTAGCCATCAGTAGCCAACATACCCTTGCCACTCCAGGAAAAAGGGTTTCCATATGCTGTGGCAGCCATCAGCCAGAGACAGTCACTTGCTCAGGGGGTGGGCACTTGGGAGAATAAGCAGGTGGAGGAAGCAAAGCGAGATGGCTTGCTGCTTGAGGAAACTTTTCTTACAAATGTATGGATCAGAAGACAGGAGCCTTTGTTACTAAAGGACTTTCTGCTCCCCAAACAAATGACAAGATGCTCCCTCTGAACACATAATGCCACATACAGAAGCTGGGCTGGACTGGCCATTGGCTCTTATTTCGATGCTGCTGATGGGGCAGCAGACTAACTGAGGAGGTTCAGTGCAGCTTGTGTTGTCTACACATCTCTACCCACCCCAGCACCTGCTACCTGAGGCAACTGCCTCATTCTGCCTAATGGTGGCGCCATTCCTGGCTGCACACAGTAAAGGAACACCTCAGCAATCGGCAAAGAGTTGGCTGAATCCTGGGGTTTCTGTGGGGCTTAGTGGATCTCTGGCACCCAAAGAACTGTGTGTGCTTTTCTCTGCACTCCTCCCTAGCACAACATGACTGGTTCCACTCCCTGCCTGTCTCTCCATCAACTTCCCTTTCCCATGCATTCCTCTCCCATATGACTGTGCTGTATACAGACCAACAGTTTCTTTTGCTCTTGCTTTATGCTTTCTGAATGCTAGATGTCTTCTGGATGCTGCACGCTTTGCAGGTGTTGGCTTCCCCATCTTCTCAGTTTTGTCTGTGAAACAACAAGCTATTATAACATGGAGGATAAGACTATGAACACATTGGTTGGATGGTGGGTGTTTAACCTTCCAAACTCAGAGTATAAGTCTCCTGTCAAGCATCAAAGCTCACAATATTCACTTCTGTTGTCCTGCACTTAATCTCCCTATTACAGGAACATAAATTTTAAAGTAGATGCACGTTTAGAAATGTCAAGGATTTCATTGGTACAAAGCTGAAATGCATAACTTCAAGCGAAAAATGGGTCTCAATAAAGCATTTCCAACATTACACTTTGGCATCTATTAGTTTACTAGTATTATTCAATCCTTTCCCATAAATACATATTTGAAACATCTCTCTCTTTTCCTTTTACTGGATCAATCTCAGTTTTAAACCAAAAAGATGTTCCATATGGATTCCAAGGAATTTTAAAAAAAGTGTTTTAGGTAATATAGCCCATTTTCATTTTGCATTCTATTTCCTCTAAGTTCCTGGACATCTACTTTCTAGGACTTCAGGAAGCATTTGCAAACAACAGTTATGGGTTTGATCCATATGTTCACTCTATATTTATTTTACAGTGTAAATCAAATTTGGGGCAATCTTCTTTGGGGAAGAAATGGGTTGATCTGTACATCAGCTGATCAGATCAGATGGCGTTATTTCCCCCCCTGCTAATATTGCAGCTGAAATCTCAGTTACTGGTGTGTGCTAAGAAGAAATATCTTGCTTTGCAACATTTATTGCTGTTTATTTATAGGCTATCTGCTTATGTCAGGATTACTTACTGTGCCAAATTACCATGCCTAAAGGTCCAAATGCCTTTCAATTTTGTGTTTGTCCCCTTTGCAGCACAACCAGAGCTGTTTTCATTAAGATACCAGCCCTCAGGCTGAAAGTGGCTTCCTCACAATACATTATCAGATGTTCACTATTTAATAGGTCATGTGGGATCTATGAGGTCTTCAGATGTTCCTGGGTGCCAACTCCCTCCATCATAGGCATCATTGTCAATGGTTGGGGATGATGAGACCAGTAACATCTGGAGGGCCACATGTTCCTAACACATGATGGAAGGTATATACATTTAATTATATAACTACCTCCTGATCATGAGAAAAGATGGAGTCCTAGATCTGGTCTCAGTTGGATGCATGTAAATCCAATTGAGTCTAGCAAGACTTTGGAGACCATGAGTTGGACCTGGAAAAGAAACAGAGGGAAGCTGTTACAAAGGCTCTCCAAGTGTGCCACTTCATTTCCTTTTGGCAATGACCCAGCCTGACATCTGACGCTGCAGCTTAAAGAAAGAAAGAAGAAGGCTGTTGTCTAATTCTGTTTTGAAGCCATATAAGCTAGCAAATGGGTTTTCCAAAGACTTGTATTTTCTGGATCATGATCTGGATCTGGTTTGATAATGACCGCTCCCCGCATAAAACGGGGGGTGACCTTTGCATGGATGCACACAGCCCCTGGATCTGGAGCGGCTCCATTCAGCATAGGCTTGGCTTTGCCTTCCCTCAGGTGGGATACCTGGAGGTCTCCACCTACCCCAGTCAGTTGTCCAATCCCACCTGGGGGAAGCGTTGCCAAGGAGATCAGGCCAGGTGGGGAGGGATTACCTGCCCACACAGAGGAGGATCTTACCTGGGAATCCTCACTTGGCTTCAGAGCTTCTCCCACCCTACCCACCCTCAGTTAATGCCTTATTTTGCAGGTTAACTTTTCTTCACAGGTTTTGCAGGTTAACTATTCTTACAGGTATGCGGGCGCTGCTACGTTAAGGTCGCTGTCAAAGGGCCGGAAAGGAATTTCCCTGCATTGGCAGGTTTCGCCTTTCCCGTAGCAAAACGTCACAACTTTGGCAGTATCAGGCCTTGGGCAGAATCCTTTTGTCCATCTTCCTCTTGCAGAGGCGATACCAGGGTTCCCTGTTAAAGGGGTTTCTGAAGGGAGGCTTTGACCGTACGCCGAAAGGTCGTCATTGCTCTCCCCTGCGGCGGCGGCATAAGTGGGGTGGCTATCTCTGCTTGAACATATGTTCTCCAGAGCCGGCCCATCCCCCACACAAACACTGGATAACCCTGATGCTCCCTAGGTCCCCGGCTGGGGACTGGGGAGGGAGAACGCCCAATGCCTGAGCCAAGGTCTACCCACATTTGAAATTTAATAAAGTTGTGGCCAATTTAATCCCATAGCACGTTGTCTTGAGTCGTTATTCCACATGACGGGGGGGGTGGGTCGCTTGGGACCTGGGGACTCCGCCTGTCCACGCAAACTGGGCCCATGAATCAGAGCAGGGCACCTGTATTGCCAGGGGATAAAACAGAATGTGGTGCTCCTGGCTTGCAACGTAGCTGGAGCTTTAATATATGGAAACTGGCTGTTTGAGAAGAAGTTAAAGCAACTTCATGGCTTGGCCAGCTATCAAACACCTGACTGCATGAGGGCTAGATGGAGGAACCAGTTGTCTGCAAACAAAGAAAGTAGCCTTACTTTGACCAAACTGTGGATATGAAGAAAGAATGCACATTAAGACTCATGCCCACGTGTGTCGACTCCCAGGTCAGATCAAAGGCTGGGAACGGAATTACATCATGAATTACTTCTGTAGCCAGCTTGGCATGAGACCTACTCTATGGTCTATATAAAGGCCAGCAGCTGAAGGAGACAGGGAGATCTTGATACATTGTTCTATGCTACATTTCAGAATGTGAAGAGAATGACCCTCTGCTAGTCTGAAATGTCCCAGATAATCCTTACAGATCTCCATCGGCTTGGGAGACATGAAGAACTGAACCTATTCTATCTGTATTATGATTATTGTTGCCTAATCTTTTGATTATTGGTTATGTTGCTAGCTTTGTAGTTTATTCCAGTTGCTGTTGGCTTTATATTAGACTCTATTCTACGTTCTCTTGAGGGTCTCATGGACTGCAAGAAGATCAAATGCATCCATTCTGAAGGAAATCAGCCCTGAGTGCTCACTGGAAGGACAGATTGTGAAGCTGAGGCTCCAATACTTTGGCCACCTCATGAGAAGAGAAGACTCCCTGGAAAAGACCCTGATGTTGGGAAAGAAGGAGGGCACAAGGAGAAGGGGACGACAGAGGACGAGATGGTTGGACAGTGTTCTCGAAGCTACAAACATGAGTCTGACCAAACTGCGGGAGACAGTGGAAGACAGAAGTGCCTGGCGTACTCTGGTCCATGGGGTCACGAAGAGTCGGACACGACTAAACGACTAAACAACTATTCTACGTTGCTGATCAATTTCTTTGCTAATGTTTACCAATTAATAAAAGTTTGTCTCTACCTAAGAGTCTCCGTTCAGTGGAATCCAAAGAACCTCTTGCTTGCCTGATGGTTGCTATTGGCCAAACACCCAGTAATACAGTGATACAACTGGTAATATAGCACCTGTACACAGCCCTCAAATGTTCCACCACTCTGTTTCATTGGATGACCCTGAGTTCTTGTATTTAAAAGAGAAAGACCACTTGTAGTTTATAAAAGCTCCTTATCATTTAGCCTCTTAGTGACCTTTTGGCCCTGGAATGAGACCCTGCAAATATCATAGCTTGTAAGGAAAGTGTTCCACCCATCAGACCTCTTTCTGTTTGGATACCTTGGTGTTGTCATGGAACAATCTTTTCTCTAATTTCTTCTTAAGGGTTTTTCATCCTCCCACGGGCTAAGAACCACTTCCCTTGTGATGTCAGGCATTCCAGAACTCCTCCCATTCAGGCTATACCATTTCCTTTTTTAAAAAAATAATATTTATTACTTTTCCAACAATTTAAACACTACAAAAAAACCCAATACAATACAATACAAAAACAATACATAACACTAACACATTAAACTAACAAAACAAAACAAAAACAGTTTAAAACACATCAAACAGTTTCAATATCTTATCTTTCATTCACTTATTTCAATGACCTCCTCACACCTCCCTTTTTGTATTCCACTTCTGTTAATTGTTTCAGCAATTCCTTTCCATCTTCCTCTGCTTTCTATCCTTTAATTATCTTAACAGATTCTAGCCTTATTTTTCCCTTTAATACTCTATTAATCTATTTATATTTAATTCCTTATAACATTTCTACTAAAGCCATATAACTTCATTCCAACATTTTCCTAACATTCATTGATTTTACAGTATTTCTGTAAATAGTCTTTAAACTTTTTCCAGTCTTCTTCCACCGACTCTTCTCCCTGGTCTCGGATTCTGCCAGTCATTTCCGCCAATTCCATATAGTCCATCAACTTCATCTGCCATTCTTCCCAGGTGGGTAAATCTTGTGTCTTCCAATACTTCGCCATGAGTATTCTTGCTGCTGTTGTTGCATACATAAAGAAAATGCTATCCTTCTTTTTTTAAAAAAAAATAAAATATAATTTTTATTACTTTTATAGATTACAAAAAGAGAGGGAAAAAAAGCAAAGGAGAAAAAACAAAAGAAAAAGTAAAGAAAAAAAACAAAGAAAGAGAAAAAAAAAACATAATACAATACAATATATAATCTGCCAAGAAAACTCCATGGACAAAGACAACAAGGCAAGGTGTAAAAATATCATTTTCATGTACTATAACTGCTAAGGACCCTTTAAAATCTTTGTATTCACAATTCACCTGGGCTAGACTGGTTTTTACCACTTGGACCCCATAGGGAGTTACAATCAACTCTTTAATAACCCCTTGAATATTGAGGAAATATCAGCCCCTGTGTCCTGTAACCCAACTACTAATATGTTCTTAATTTTAAATTCCTCACTGAATTGCACCTGGGCCCATCTAGATTGACACAGGTCAATTCATGCCATTCTCACAGAAGCCCATTCTGATGAATCATTTTCTGTTGAAGCTTGATTCCGGGGAGTGGGAGGTGCCGTTATATATTGTTCACTTGGCCTCTCTCCTTCCTCCCGTGAAGCTTCCTCAGACTGCACCACACACACTTTTGCTGTTCTTGAGACACGATCTGTCCAC